GAACTACACAATTCCTTTTATAAGGCATATTCACCATTCTTCCTTTTAGAACGATTATTATTATTTTATCATACTTAAACATCTAATTAGAAAATTTTATTTTTAACACACAAGATTGATACTAATTTACTATATTTAATGATTGAGAAAGGTAATATTTAGGGTCCTGCAAGAAAGCATCTGTTATAATCGTTGTCGGAGATTTAACTTAAAGTGGAGTTACTTACTATACTTCCATATAATAGGCATTCTAGAGTTAATTATTAAACATGTAAATTATTCAAAGATATTTTATATTTTTGGATGTGATATAAAAGATTCATTCGAAACAAGTAGATGTCGTTTAATTACACAATTCTACTTTTTCTTAGTTGCACCTCAATTAGCAACATTTTCCTTTGGAGAAGAGCCAGCTAATGCAGGTGAAATGGCATCCGTTACATGTGCTGTTATAAAAGGAGACTTACCCTTGGAAGTTTCATGGATGTTTAATGATCATATTATAGGATCTGATCAAAGTGATATTATTATTGATAATGGGAACCGACGTAAACAGTTGACCATTGAGTCGGTTTCTGCAAGACATGCAGGGGAATATACCTGTGTTGCGTCAAATATTGCAGGATCTGTTTCTCGAACTGCCATTCTAGATATTAATGGTATTTCTGAGAAAGCTATATAATTTATTTCCTTATTTAACTCTCTCCCTAACCCATTAATCCCAATTCGAGAAATGACTTCGTCTAAAAAATTTACAACTTTAATTATTTTTCAAAATTATTGATATAGTTAATGTCATATTTTTTGTGATCAACTTAAATTCAATCTGAGGCATGCACAACAGAGTAGTAGTACTTTAAATATATTAAATTGTTCGACTTCGTTTTAATTTTATATCAGTTTTATCGTTTAATTGTTGCGAACTGGTTAATTGAGATTAGGTTTATCTGAGTCATTACGAAGGATGATTAGACCTTAAGTAGAATAAATATATTTACGAGATACTTTTTTATATTGTAACGTGTCACTGGTAGCATGGTTTAATAATTCTACTGACGACATATACTATCAAATATTAGGTATATAATATTGGAATAACTTGTATTGGATAACAAATGTCAAGATTTTTGTATTTAATTAGCATATTAATTTATGCATTTTGTTCTTATTGTTAGTTGCACCCCAAATATCACCATTTACATTTGGAGATGAGCCTGTTAATGCGGGTGAGATGGCATCTGTTACATGTGCTGTTGTGAAGGGAGATTTACCTCTTGAAGTATCTTGGATGTTTGATGCACATCCAATAGAATCTGAACACAGTGATATAATTATATTTAACAATGGAAATCGTCAAAAACAGTTAACGATAGAGGCTGTTTCTGCAAGACATGCGGGGGAATACACCTGTGTCGCATCAAATCTTGCAGGATCAGTCTCTCTAACAGCAACTCTTGACATTAATGGTATTATTGAAGACTAATTATTATTTATAATTATTGTTTACCTGTTCCTTAATCCTCAGTTGAGATTTGACTCTACTAGAAATGTTGAAGTTTTATTAATTTCATGATAACGAAATTTAAAAACGTAGAAAAGCAATTTCTATATAAAAAGTTTGAGTAACTACAGTATGTTATTCAAAAACATCAATTTTTCCATATTATTGTCTTTCAATAATTATAATCTATATAGTTATTTTCTTTATCTCATGCAATGTATTATGTTTAATTTTCATCAGTTATAATTTACCGAATTTCTAATTCAGTGTAGGATATTTAATACCATTATTCTAATACCTTTCGTATTCAGTTCCTTTATCGCGCTCTAGCTCTCACAATTTCATACATGACCACTCACATTGTTTGTTTTTGTGACAAATTTCCCGTCTAAGGAAACATCGCTACCACAACAACCCCAGGATCGTATAGTCAATTCCAACATCAATGACTCATTTAGAATTACAAATATGTAGTATTAACAATTTAACTACTTCGAATGCTACAACTTTTTTTCCTCTTTTTGTAAGGAGATGCGACCTAATTCTCATTACACAGCAAACAGAATTAGCAAAAACTTAAATACACATTTAAGTACAATTCCAAAGAGCATTTGTTTATATTCAAATAATTAAAAAAATTTTTTTTTTATTTTGTTTCTCTGCATTTTACTTCTATGTGTATCGGAGTTTTAAATAGAAAAATTTTCTATCCCGAAAATATTAAATAATTCCATTTTCTTCATAGTTGCACCTCAAATTTCACTATTTTCCTTTGGAGAAGAACCGGTAAATGCAGGTGAGATGGCATCTGTTACATGTGCTGTTGTGAAGGGAGATTTACCTCTAGAAGTATCTTGGATGTTTGATGCACATCCAATAGATTCTGAACAGAGTGATATTATTATAATTAACAATGGAAATCGTCATAAACAATTAACGATAGAGGCTGTTTCTGCAAGACATGCGGGAGAATACACCTGTGTTGGGTCAAACATTGCAGGATCGGTTTCACGAACGGCAGTTCTTGACATTAATGGTATTTCTTAGCAAACAGTGTTAATGTAATTATTATACTTTTCCTAAACCTTAATCCTATTGAGTTGCGAGGGATTTGATATTTCCAAATTTGACGTCCTTACATAAGTTTTATCTAAATATTTGTTTTATTGCATACAATTTCTTTGGATCATGGACAATAGTTAAAAGTCAAATAAATTAATTGTATTATAAATTGTAGTGCAGAATTACTGCAAGTACCAAATGCTATCATAACACCGCAACATATAAGTTTGCCTCAAACTAGAGTTATGAGGACATGATGCAATTTGCACTGTAAGTTTATTGCAAGCTTGCGGTTTAATTAATGTACTGTCTAATATTTTAATATTATAATAATTTCTTATTCGTTACATTTATCAATCGTTATCTGGAATTCTGTTACTATTCATTAGATGAATAAGTGAAGCAAACTTTTTGAGTTATATTATAGATTTTTGATACTTTTTTTTAAATACAATTCTGATTCATTTCATAATTTATTTGTTTAGTTCTTCAACGACTTGCAACAAAGAAAAATCTTACCAATAATTGATTGATAAACTAAATCTATATTGCTATTATTAGGATAGTACTAGAGAGAAAATAATTGGATCGAATTTCATAAGAAATTTCGCATGGAATTCGTATTTATTTCATGTCGAACTAGACTTTAAACACTTTTTACCTGAATATCTTCCTAGAAATACCAAAGATATTTGCATTAAAGTCTTTGGTTTCGATTATTTCGAAATGAGGTTATTGACATTGTGAACTTTAAAATTCTATAACTCAGCGATTATTGTACCAAATTGGACTTAAGACGTATCAAAATTTTCAAAATCTAACTAGGAATTTGACCATATATAGATAAGACCAATAGTGCCAAAGTAATCTTTATAGAGTTTTTTTATAAATTTGATGTTATTGATATCCTGATTATTTTCTGAAGATGAATTGCTGATATATTTAACGAACCGAATCCCGTTAATGTAGTCAATTATTCGAATTCTCTTAGTTGCACCCCAAATTTCACTATTTTCCTTCGGAGAAGAACCGGTAAATGCAGGTGAGATGGCATCGGTCCAATGTGCAAAGTGATGTAAATATAATTGATAATGGAAAACGTCATAAGCAATTAACTATTGATTCTGTTTCTGCAAGACATGCTGGAGAGTACACATGTGTTGGGTCAAACATTGCAGGATCGGTTTCACGAACGGCTGTTCTTGACATTAATGGTATTTCTTAGCAAATGGTGTTAATGTAATAATTATACTTTTCCTAAACCTTAATCCTATTGAGTTGCGAGGGATTTGATATTTCCAAATTTGACGTCCTTAGATAAATTTAAGTTTATCTAAGTATTTGTGTTATTGCATACAAAGTAAAAAGTACTGTCTAATATTTTAATATAATAATTTGTTTTCTGGCACATTCATCACACGTTATCTGGAATTCTGTTACTATCTATTAAATGAACAAGTAGAAGCAAACTTTTGAGATACTTAGAGTTTTGTCAACTTTTTTTAAAATATAATTCTGATTCATTTCATTATTTATTTGTTTAATTCTTAGAAGACTTACAACAAAGAAAAATCTTAGCAATAATTGATCGTTTATCTTAATCTATATTTCCATTAAAAGGGTAGTACTAGTCTGAAAATAATTCGATCGAATTTCATATTCATTTTTCATCTTAAAGGTGTACTAGACTTAAAACAATTCTTATCTGAATAACTTCCTAGAAGAACCAAAGATATTCGCATTGATTCCGATTTTTGCACATATTTATTTATTTGTTTTTACACCCGTCTTAATCCTTCAATCTTGGCTATAGAAATGTTTTTACAACCATAGAATTTTTTTATAAATATTCTCATTACTTAATACTAAATTTTGCGTCTGCAGAATGTCTTGAAATTAGGAGTACTCGCATTTGTCTGAACCACCGTCTATTGGGTTTTCTCGTCAGTGGAGAGGGAAACTGTAGAAAGCCTCTCTAAGTAAAACTGGTTTATCGACAGTCGAGTTCTAATGGTGTGTACCGGACATTAATCGACAGTGCACATCATTATACTTCGACGTCAAACCTCCCGCTCAGATTATCCCACGTACCGGAAAAATCCCAGGCTAATTACAGTCTTTGATTTCAATTTGCACCAAATTTATTTATTGTTTTATTTCTGTAGTAAGACACATATAAAGGTTTTGATTTCCATCACAAGAGACATAAGAAGTTTATGTATAAGTTTATCTATAAATTTTTACATTTGAATATTTTTTAAAATAAGGTTACTAAGTATATTTACTTTCACGTTTTAAAAAATATAAATGTACAGTAATCTTTAGAGTAACATAAGTTGATATTATTGCTATTCTAATTATTTTCTAAAGATGTATTTCCGATTTATTTAAACAAAGTGAATCCTGTTAATGTAGTCAATTATTTGAATTCTCTTAGTTGCGCCACAAATTTCACCTTTTGCTTTTGGAGATGATCCTGTAAATGCAGGTGAGATGGCATCGGTCCAATGTGCTGTTGTTAAAGGGGATCTACCCTTAGATATATCTTGGATGTTCAATGGAAATCCTATAGGATCTGATCAAAGTGATGTAAATATAATTGATAATGGAAAACGACATAAGCAATTAACTATTGATTCAGTTTCTGCAAGACATGCTGGAGAGTACACATGTGTTGGGTCAAACATTGCAGGATCGGTTTCACGAACGGCTGTTCTTGACATTAATGGTATTTCTTAGCATATGGTGTTAATGTAATTATTATTCTTTTCCTAAACCTTAATCCTATTGAGTTGCGAGGGATTTGATATTTCCAAATTTGTCATCCTTATATAAATTTTATCTAAATATTTGTTTTAATGCATACAATTCCTCTGTAAGTTTACTGCAAGCTTGCAGTTTAATTAATGTACTGTCTAATATTTTAATATTATAATAATTTCTGTTCGGTCACATTTATCAAACGTTATCTGGAACTCTGTTCCCATCCATTAGTTGAACAAGTAGAACTAAACTTTTGAGATCTTTGGATTTTTGTCAACTTTTTTAAAAATATAATTCTGATTCATTTCCTTATTTATTTGTTTAATTTTAAAAAGACTTACAACAAAAAAAAATCTTAGCAATAATTGATTGTTAATCTAAATCTATATTTCCATTAGTAGGGTAGTACTAGGGTGAAAATAATTCGATCGAAATTCATATTCATTTTTCATCGTGAATGTGTACTTGACTTAAAACAATTCTTATCTGAATAACTTTCTAGAAGAACCAAAGATATTCACATTACAGTCTTTGATTTCGATTTTCGCCTTATTTATTTGTTAATATCCCCGTTTTAAGCCTCCAATCTTGGCTATACAAGTTGTTTTACTACCGTAGAATTTTTTTTATAAATATTCTTATTACTTAATACTAACTTTTGCGTCTACAGAACGTCTTGATATTAGGAGTACTCGCATTTGCCTGGACCATCCGTCTAATCAGTTTTCTCGCCAGTGGAGAGCGAAACTGTAGAAAACATCTCCGACTGCAACTGTTTTATCGACAGTCGAGTTCTAATGGTGTGTACCGGACAATAATCGTCGGTGCACATCATTATGCCTCGACGTCAAACCTTCCGCTCAGAGCAACATAAGTTGATATTATTGCTATTCTGATTATTTTTTAAAGATGTATTTCTGATTTACTTAAACGAAGTGAATCCCGTTAATGTAGTCAATGATTTGAATTCTCTTAGTTGCGCCACAAATTTCGCATTTTGCTTTTGGAGATGATCCGGTAAATGCAGGTGAAATGGCATCGGTCCAATGTGCAGTTGTTAAAGGGGATCTTCCATTAGATATATCTTGGATGTTCAATGGAAGTCCTATAGGATCTGATCAAAGTGATGTAAATATAATTGATAATGGAAAGCGTCATAAACAGTTAACTATTGAGGCTGTTGCAGCAAGGCATGCTGGAGAATACACATGTGTTGGGTCAAACATTGCAGGATCGGTTTCACTTACGGCTGTTCTTGACGTTAATGGTATTTCTTAGCAAATGGTGTTAATGTAATTAATATTTTTTCCCTAACCTTATTCCTATTGAGTTGCGAGGGATTTGATATTTCCAAATTTGACGTCCTTAGGTAAATTTTATCTAAATATTTGTTTTATTGCATACAATTTCTTTGGATCATGCGAAATAGTTAAAAGTCAAATAAATTAATTGTATGTATTTTTATATTTCAAATAACATATTTAATTAACCTGTAAATTTTCTTGAAGCAATTTAACTTAAATTATAGTGCAATTTGCACTGTAAGTTTACTGCATGCTTGCGGTTTAAATAATGTACTATGTAATGTAATAATAACAAATTATTATTATAATAATTTCTTTTTTGTCACGATTATCAAACGTTATCTGGAATTCTGTTACTATCCATTAGATGAATACGTAAAGCAAACTTTTTGAGTTATGTGGATTTTTGTTACTTTTTTTAAAATACAATTCTGATTCATTTCATTATTTATTTGTTTAGTTCTTCAACGACTTGCAACAAAGAAAAATCTTACCAATAATTGATTGATAAACCAAATCTTTATTGCCATTATTAGGGTAGTACTAGGGAGAAAATAATTCGATCGAATTTCATGAAAATTTTTGCATGAATTTCGTATGGATTTCGCATTTATTTCATGTCGAACTAGACTTTAAACAATTCTTATCTGAATATCTTCCTAAAAGAGCCAAAAATATTCGCATTACAGTCTTTGATTTCGATTTTCTCGAAATGAGGTTTTTGACATTGTGAATTTTAAAAGTCTATAACTCAATGACTGTTGTACCAAATTGGACTTAAGTAGTATCAAACTTTTACAAATTTAACAAGGAATATGACTATATAGTTAAGTCCAATAGTGCCAAAGTGGTCCCTTTTCATGCGGACGTTCACATATAAAAAACTTCCAGTGTTAAGTCTGCTAAAGTCAAATTTTTAGTAATATTTATTTATTGTTTTATTACCGTAGTAAGACACATATAAAATTATTAATTTCCGTAACAAGGGACTTAAAAATTTTATCTATAAATTTTTATATTTGAATATTTTTAATCTAAGGTTACTTCTAAGCATATTTACTTGCCCGATTTAAAAAATATAAATGTACTCAATCTTTATAGAGTAACATAAGTTGATATTATTGCTACTCTGATTATTTTCTAAAGATCTTTTGCTGACTTATCTAAACGAACTGAATCCCGTTAATGTAGTCAATTATTTGAATTCTCTTAGTTGCGCCACAAATTTCACCTTTTACTTTTGGAGATGATCCTGTAAATGCAGGTGAAATGGCATCGGTCCAATGTGCTGTTGTTAAAGGGGATCTACCATTAGATATATCTTGGATGTTCAATGGAAATCCCATAGGATCTGATCAAAGTGATGTAAATATAATTGATAATGGAAAACGACATAAGCAACTAACTATTGATTTAGTTTCTGCAAGACATGCTGGAGAATACACATGTGTTGGGTCAAACATTGCGGGATCGGTTTCATTTACCGCAGTTCTTGACATTAATGGTATTTCTTAGCAAATGGTGTTAATGTAATTATTATTCTTTTCCTAAACCTTAATCCTATTGAATTGCGAGGGATTTGATATTTCCAAATTTGATGTCCTTAGATAAATTTAAGTTTATCTAAATATTTGTTTTATTGCATACAATTTCTCTAGGTCATGCGCATTAGTTAAAGTTAAAAAATTTCATTTTTTTTTCTAAGAACATATTCAAATAACATGTAAATTTTCTTGAAGCTATTTTACTTGAACTGTAGTGTAGACTTACTGCAAGTACCTAATGTTATCGTAACACCACAACATATAAGTTTGCGCAAACTGGAGTTATGAGGACATGTTATGATTTGCACTGCAAGTTTACTACAAGCTTGCGGTTTAATAAATATACTGACTAATATTTTTATTAATATTTTAATATTGTAAACAATAATAGCTTTTTTGTCATGTTTATCAAACGTTATCTGGAATTCTGTTTCTATCCATTAGATGAACAAGTAGAAGCATACTTTTTGAGTTATGTCGATTTTTGTCATCTTTTTTTAAAATACAATTTTTGTTCATTTCATTCTTTATTTGTTTAGTTCTTAAACGGCATATAACAAAGGAAAATCTTAGCAATAATTGATTGTTAAACTAAATATATATTGCCATTAGTAGGGTAGTACTAGGGAGAAAATAATTCAATAAAAATTCATAAGAAATTTTGGATGGATTTCGCATTTATTTCATGTCGAATTTCGTTTTGGATTCTAATGTCATTTTGGACCCTTTTTCGGACCTTGGTATATTAAAAATTTGAAGTAAATTGGTGAATAGAGCAACTATAATTAATTCTTAATTAATATTAAGAAATACAACAATTTCAATATACAGCTGAGAACAAAATTCTATAACAAACAAAAATTATTATTGAAAAAATCTAACGAATTATAATATAAAAAACCTACCAGTGTTAAGTCTGCTAAAGTCGACGTTTCCGCCATATATATTTATTGTTTTGTTTCTGCAGTAGGACATATATAAAGATTTTAATTTCCGTCACAAGGGACATAGGAAGCTTATCTTTAAGTTTATCTTTAAATTTTTACATTTGAATATTTTTAATCTAAAGTTACTTCTAGGTATATTTATTCAATCTTTATTCAGTAACATAAGTTGAAATTATTGATATTCTGTTTGTTTTCTAAAGATCTTTTGCTGACTTATCTAAACGAACTGAATCCCGTTAATGTAGTCAATTATTTGAATTCTCTTAGTTGCACCACAAATTTCACCTTTTACTTTTGGAGATGACCCGATAAATGCAGGTGAAATGGTATCGATCCTATGTGCCGTTGTTAAAGGGGATTTGCCATTAGAAGTGTCTTGGATGTTTGACGGTCGCCTTATAGAATCTGACAAAAATGACATAAATATAATTGATAATGGAAAGCGTCATAAACAGTTAACTATTGAGGCTGTTGCAGCAAGACATGCTGGAGAATACACATGTGTTGGGTCAAACGTTGCAGGATCAGTCTCACGAACGGCTGTTCTTGACGTTAATGGTATTTTTCATGAATAATTTCAGTTTGATTATTAATTCCTTAAACCTATTCCTTAATAGCAGTTAATTTATGTCTCATTTTTCTTTGATTGTCCTAAAAATTATGAGACTTGATGTCAAAAGTTGTAAAATATTTTACACAGATAATATTTGAATGAGGATTTCTTTCATGCTTTGACTCATTACTTTTAGATACCTGAATTCAATATTCCGAAATTTTGACGCAATTTTTAGGTAATATTCGTAGAATTTCTGATCCTATTAGGTTAGATGTATCGTCTCACTATTCTTCTATTGCTTTATGTACATACGTTTTTGAAATTAAATTTTTAAGGAAGGTTACGGTTTCTAATTTTCCTTTTTAATAAATCATAATATATTTAGGTGTACTGAAATGAAATTATTTTATAGTAGCGCCAATCAGATTGCAAAATATATAAAATGTTATCTTACTATATTATAGTAAGAGAAAAGGTTTCTTTACAATACTTTTTACATATTATTTTTACAGGTGTCTAATTTTATTAAAACTTATTAGTAATTTGTTATCACTGCAAATATCGGATTATTATTTTCAAAAGAAATGTAATTTTTCTATAGTTGCTCCTCAGATCGCTCTTTTCTCTTTTGGAGAAGAACCTGTTAATGCAGGTGACATGGCATCTGTACAGTGTTTGATAACAAAAGGAGACTTACCGTTAGATATAACTTGGATGTTTATGAATAATCCAGTAGAATCTCAAGCAAATGATATAAGAGTAATTGACGTTGGAAATCGTCATAAACAATTAACTATAGAGGCTGTTTCTGCAAGGCACGCTGGGGAATACACATGTATTGCATCAAATCTTGCAGGATCAGTCTCACGAACTGCTACTCTCGATGTTAATGGTATTTAAATATCTAAATAATTTAACCTTGTTAAAATTTCCTAATACCATTTTCCTTTTAAGAGATGTGACTTTGCTAGTAGCGGTTGACTGATAAGTATCATAGGTGAAAGAGAATATCATGTCATTAAATTTATTTAATTCTCTGTTTAGAATTTCACTATCTTGTTCATAATTTGATATGTATTCGGTAAAAATTGTTTTTCTGTACTATTTTGATATGATATCTTAAAAACCATTGTGTTTATTTAATTAAAATTTATAATATTTCTATACTTTAAATGTTTCCATAGTTGCTCCACAAATAGCACTATTTTCATTTGGGGATGAACCCGTAAATGCTGGCGATACAGTATCTGTCCAATGTACAGTATCTAAAGGAGATTTTCCCCTGAAAATAAATTGGATGTTTGAAAAACGCTTACTTAAACCGGGCAAAGAAGATATAATTATCACTAATACTGGAAAACGTGTTAAACAGTTGACTATTGAGTCTGTGTCTGCAAGACATGCTGGAAAATATACCTGCGAAGCGGCCAATATTGTTGGATCCGTTTCAAAGTCATCAGTCCTTAATGTTATTGGTACTTTTGTACCTTATAATTAATCTATTGTTTGTGTGCACTTATTACATTTTCCCGCGTCCTCCTGCAATTTCTTCTAATCTACTACTTTTTGTTGGCTCCACGCTTAACGATATGTGTTTTTAGGTGAAGACTTACTAGCTCCAAGAATAGGAATTTTTATCCTTTAAATATAGAATCGCATATTACAAAATGACTTTTCTAAAAAAAATAATAAAAGATAATATTAAATTATTTGTAAATACAAAGAAAATTTTATTCGCAGTTGCTCCACAAATAGCGTTATTTTCACTTGGGGAGGAACCTGTAAATGCTGGTGACACAGTGTCCGTACAGTGCACAGTGTCTAAAGGAGATTTTCCTTTAGACATTGACTGGCTATTTGAGGGTCAATCTTTACAGTCCTATAAAGAAGATGTAGCTGTAACTAATTCTGGAAAACGTAGCAAGCAATTGACAATAGAAGCAGTCGCAGCAAACCATGCGGGAGAATATACCTGCGTGGCGTCAAATATTGTTGGAACTGTTTCTAGATCAGCCACTCTCAATGTTAATGGTACCTTCGTACCTTACATAACATAAATATTTCTAGTGCGTAGTTTTAACATTATCCTTTTTCCCTTCAGAATCTTATTTCGTTTTGTTGACTCCACGTTCATCTAGGTATATTAATGTTAATCAGTTATGATCTCTTCTTTGTAAAGGAAGACGTACCATTAATGATTTTTTGCTAATACGATAACATTTTATTCGATACTTGGAAACTTTTCTTTCTAGTTGTTCCACAAATTGCACAATTTTCTTTTGGTGGAGAACCCGCGAATGCGGGTGACTTGGCTACAGTAACTTGTGCTGTGACAAAAGGAGATTTACCTATAGACATAACTTGGATGTTTGGCGATAGAGAAATAGAATTTGGTTATGATATGGTTATATCGAGTTCCAGTAAACGGTTGAAACAGTTGACCATTGAAACGGTTGCAGCTAAACATGCTGGAGAGTATACCTGTGTGGCTTCTAATATAGCTGGTTCAGTTTCACAAACAGCTGTACTCGAAGTCAATGGTATTTTATTAATTTCATAATTTTCTTAGCTTATTTCCAATACTACTTCCTGATTATTAAACTTCCTATTCCAATTCCAAAGCACGTAAATTCATTCGCCGCGAATACAATGTGACTTCATTTGATATAGCTGGATATTTTAGGATGAAATTAAAGGCAATTATGGCAATAGTAACTGGGTTATTAATGCGTAGAAATGTTTGAAACTGTTGTTTTGTTCTCTTTCATGAATTCAATTTTTACATTTATATAGTTGCACCACAAATATCGATGTTTTCCTTTGGAGAAGAACCTGCTAATGCGGGTGACTTGGCGTCGGTACAGTGCGCTGTGATAAAAGGAGACTTACCTATTGAAATAGTCTGGATGTTTGCGGATCAACCAATATATAAGCCGCAAGGAGATATAATTATATCTGACTCCGGAAGTCGCCTTAAACAATTGACTATTGAAGCTGTCGCTGCTCGGCATGCAGGAGAGTATACATGCATTGCTTCTAATGCAGCTGGTTCTGTGTCTCGAACAGCTATACTTAATGTCAACGGTACACTTCGTTTTTCATCGCAATTGATCGTTTATAGAAAATTCATCTTTGGGCGTCTATTTGCTTATCCTTTTCCTGGCCGTTTAATATTATTTTTCTAATATAGAAATCAAATTTCTTTTCAAAAATGTTGTCTACTTTTCTTATTTCGCAATGATATCACAATGTCCTAATACTTTAAATAGATGTATTATTAAATAATGCCATATGTTTGAAGGAGATGTATGTAATCACAATATTAGCAGTCTTTTATTTCTCGGATAAAATTAGAATACTTTTTAGAAATCGCTATGAATTCTTAAAAGTTAAATTAAAAGAAAGATAGCAAAATTACTCTAAACAAAACACTAAAATTTCCAACTAACTAATATTTAATAATTTTTCATTAACCACATTTCTTTAAATGGTTACTCTTCATACGATACTTTATCTTCATATGTGCATTAGTTGTATACAGATTCGCAGTGTTAATGTGAGAGAATTTTGTAAATTAAGGGTTTTTCTAAAAATAAAAATTATCTATTACGAACTTTATAGGTAAATTACACAGGCCTGTATGGTTTTTCATTTTTGTTATTTGTGTGGTTTCAAATCCATTTCTGTCCGATGAACACGATCGCAAATCATAAAATAGCCTAGCACGTCAGGATTTTAAGAAAAGTGTAGTTAACAACTTCAAAAAACTTGTTTTTGAGGTTTTTAAACTAAAAACACGTTTGTTTGGAAATTTTCTCCCATTTGTCTCAAAATCTTGACGTGATAAACCAATTTGGGACCCGGGATTATGTTCAGCAGACTAAAATACATTGGAAACCGCTCCGATATATAAAATGAAAATAGTCGAATTTTCCAAGCCTTTCAATAAAAACTTGATTCAGTAGAATTTCGTTAAGTTCTTATGATTCATACTGAACAAGAAAATTAATCACCTACTTTTTCTTGTTTTAAGTTTGCTAAGCTTGTCAAACTTGCAGTAAATGAAGGTGCTATTTCAGCATTGAAACTTAAACAAGAAAATGTCTAATCAGTTAAATATTGACATATTTGGGTTTATATATTGAATAAAAAATATTATCTTCATTTCTGTTGGCAAAGATTAACGTAAATAAATAACTAACTTTAACTCCAGGATACTTTACCTAATTTTCGTTATTTTTCAGTTACTGAAAATCGCAATAATGTGATTATTTTAAAAGCAATTTTGATCATTGAAAATCGTATCATTTTCATTGTCACAATAATTCAGTTGATCAGTAATATTAGGACGTAAAATAATTTTCTTTCCAGTAATGCCAAAGCTATTACCTTTCACCTTTGGCGAAGAACCATTGAATTCTGGTCAAGTTATAACTGTACCTTGTGCAGTTATTGAAGGCGATCAACCACTTAAGCTTCATTGGATTTTAAACAGCCATGTTATTTCACCACATTCGGGAATCTCTGTCTTGGATTTAGGTGGACGTGGTGCAATATTGAGTATAGGATCAGTTCAAGCCTCTCATGCCGGAACATACACTTGTATTGCCGAAAATATAGCCGGGAGACATGAACTGTCGGCTGAACTCATAGTTAATGGTGCTTAATTTCAAAAATCATCACAGTAGAACAACTTTCACCCGGTGACCTTTATTTTCTCCTTTCCTGAGATTTCCTCCACTATTTTGCGACAAATGTGCCGTAGCTCAAAAATAGATCAATTTTTACTTAATTGTACATGTTTATTTGAACCATCTCCTCCAAAACAAAACGTTTTAAGTTACAATTTGATTGTTTGTTTTTGCGGTCTACAGTACCACCACATTTGCAGCCTTTCAACTTTCACGAGAGTACCAATACTGGGGATTTGATAATAGTTCACTGTACAGTTTTGAAAGGCGACACGCCTATTGATCTGAAATGGTTGTTTCAAGGCAGTCATTTGAATATAGACGATCAAGTTCAAATCACGGCGATGGGAAACCGAGTTTCTACTTTGACCATACCTTCCGTAAGAGGCGAACATGCTGGAGAGTATGCTTGCGTGGCAGATAATGTCGCTGGTCGAGCTAGACACAGTGCTCATCTCAGAGTGAATGGTATTTTTGCAGACAGTTTTCAACAGTTCGTTTTTGTCGTAATGCAACATTTTCTACTAAACAAACCAGACTCAACATTTCTGAAGCGTGCCACTAACTTTTCGGTGGAGATTTTTTTTATAGTTCATACCAATAACTTTATAGAATTTTCGTACCAAAATATGACCCCAAAGTTGATTTTGCAAAATTTTAATTTTTTTAAGAGTTATTGTTTAAATCATTTTTACGCATCAAATTATTGAAAATTTTTTCTTACCGTTCTATTTGATAGATTTTAATAAAATTTGGTATGAGTAATATACAATAATCATATCTTCGAACAAAACATATTTCTTACATTTTGTTCATAATTTGTTTAAAATAGCAACAGTTATTATAAACAAATAGAAATAAAATAAACTTCTCCGTCTAATTTCGTATTTTTTCTAGTCAATTATTATGATTCCCTGTTTTATCACGAGTATTAAAAAAAATAAAAGTCAGTATATTGCATTAGGCCAAAAGTTATTAATATTTTTGAAACCGCGCTCGCTGCGCTCCACAGTGGGATAAAAATACAAAATTTGGTTCAAATTAACTTTTAGACTAGAATTTTTAATTAAATTAAAGTTTTTTTCCTGTAACTCAGAACTGAATTCTAAAAACATCTGTGAAAGTCGATTATTTAAATTTTGTTTTATAAATCTTTAATGTTTTTGTAAAGTGTAAAAAATGATTTTTTAAACTTTTCAATATATTTAAAAAAAAATGTTTTTCATACTCAATATTGCATACATTTTATATCTGAGGGTGTGTAAGCAGTAAAGAAATTGTTTCTAAGATTGCAAATTGTTATAAACAAATTAAATAAACAATTATACTCTAGGCGATGATAGGACTAAAAAAAATTTGTTTGTCATTTTGGTGCAAAAATGAATCAAATTTATTACGATGAATGTTTCTTCTAAGCAGCCTAGAGATTATCCTCATGAAAATGTTATTTTGCAAACAACTTAATTATTTTTATAAACAAATTATATAAACAATTACACTTTAGGCGCAGTTATGCCTAAAAAAATTGTTTTTTATTATAAATTTACTGCAGATTATTGCAATTTAACTTCTTTAATGAAACTGATGTTTTACGATAATCTTTGTTAATTATTTAAACAATTTTAATAAACAATTGCGTTGTTAGGACATTTTTGGACAGAAATAAATCGAAGTTTTACAATTAAGTTTTCTTCTAAACTTTCCAGAGATTAACATCGAAAATAAATTATTTTTTAAATAACTTTATCATTTTGATAAACAAATTGAATAAACAATTATATTCATCAAACATTTTTGGTCGAAAATTAATCGTCTGTTTTATAAATTAAGATTAAATTATACAGTTAATTTCTTATAATGAAAACGAAGTTTTGCATTAATTTCTCTTATTTTTACAAATAAATATCATTAATAATTAAATTTGAAGAAAATATTTTAATAAAAGAATAAAACGTTTTTAAAACTTGCTAAAATTTTTTTGAAGATTTATTTTATTTCTGTCCAAAAATGTTCTTACAATGCAATTGCTTATTAAAATTGTTTAAATAACTAAGAAAAATTATCGCTAAACATCAGTTTCAATAAAAAAATTAGATTGAAATAAGCTAAAGTAAATTTATAAAAAATATTTTTTTTACATAACTTTGCCTACAGTGTAATTGGTTATAAAAATGATAAATTTATTTGCAAAATAACTTTTTCAAAAGGATAATTTCTAGGCGATTAAGGAGAAACATTAATTGTAAAAAATTTTATTCATTTCTGCCCAGAAATGTCCTAACAGTGCAATTGTTTGTTAAAATTGTTTAAATAATTAAGAAAAATTATTGCAACACATCAATTTCATTAAATGAAAGTTTGATCGCAATTAGCTGAAGTAAATTTATAAAATACAAAAAATAAATTATTTTTAGTCATATCTTCGCCTAGAGTGTAATTGTTTATATAATTCGTTTATAACAATTTGTATAATCTTATAAATAATTTTTTTTACTGTTTACACACCCCCAAACATAAAATGAATGCAATATTGAGTATGTATAAAACTTTTTGTTTAAACTATATTGAAAAGTTTAAAAAATCATTATTTTTACACGTTACATTAACATTAAAAACTTACAAAAAAAAATTTAAAAAATCGACTTTCACAAATCTTTTTAGAATTTAGTTCTGAGTTAGAGGGAAAAAATTTTTAATTTAGTTGAAAATTGTGGTCTACAAGTTAATTTGAACCAAATTTCGTTTTTTTAACCCACTGTGGAGCGCAGCGAGCGCGGTCACAAAAATATGAATAACTTTTGACCTAATGCAATATACTGACTTTTCTTTTTTTCAATCCTAATTGACCAGAAAAAATACGAAATTAGGCGGAGAAGTTTGTTTTATTTCTATTTGTTTATAATATTTGTTGCTATTTTAAACAAATTATGAACAATGTCTAACAAATATTTTTCCTTTAAAAGTACGTTTATTGTATATTACTCGTACCAAATTTTATTAAAATCCATCAAACAGAACGGTAGGAACAAATTTTTCAATAATGTGATGCGTAAAAATTGTTTAAACAATAACTCTGAAAAAAATAAAAATGCAAAATCTACTTTGGGGTCTTATTTTGATAGGAAAATACTATAAAATTATTGATATGCAATATAAAAATATCCCTATCGAAAAATTAGTGACACGCTTCAGAAATTTTGAGCCACGAATGGTTTTTACGTCCACACTATTAAACTATGTGAAAGTCATAAAACTTTTTATAATTTTTATGACTGATGGTTTGTTTAAAAGGAAATAAGTAGGTATTCTCAGTGAAGTAATTTGTCGTTTGCGTTGGCTTTGTTGCGGTGCTTCTTTACCTCCTTCGATTATGATTGTACCACTTATTCATCTACATCTCCAAGTATTTGCCTTTTTAAAGTATGTTACAGTATCTAAATAGGCAGTTAGTTGAGCTGATGAAACCATTTTTAAACGAAATTACTCAGTTAAATTGTTTTTTTCATTTATTATTCTTCTCGGACTTGATTTCTATCCACTTCCACATCCTTATCCTGTATTGTAATTAATTATCTGAATTGCAGATCGATTAAAGAAATACAGATAACAAATGAACAAATGAATTACACTCCACGTCAGTGTTAGGAATGAAATCCACCGCGAATCACACAATTCCTTGCGTTTCAGTTCAGCCACGCATCAATCCATTTGATTTTGGAAATCAGCCAATATATGCGGGACAGGCGGCTCAGTTACCTTGCATGGTATCAGTCGGCGATTTGCCGTTAAATTTTAATTGGACTTTTGACAATCAGCCTTTGTTACAATTCAAAGGATACAGCATCGGAAAATTAGGACCACGAACTAGTATTCTACTTATTGAAACAGTAACACAAGAGCATAGTGGATCCTACGCGTGTATCGTTGTAAATCCGTCCGGAAAGGCTAAGCACGAGGCTATGTTAAGAGTACACGGTTAGGGCCAGATATTGAGTAGTTAGGACTGATGCCTTCTGAAAGCTACTCTTTCATTTTTCAAAATTGCTTCTGGATGGTAATATCATTTTCTCTTGTTTCATTTTATTCCTGTTGACGAAATCATTACTTATCATTATTTTAACATTCGCAAAATCTCTCAAACTTTCTCAAAATGTCAAATAATTCAAATATCTTAAAAGAAATCCATTGTCATTAATTTATCAATGAAATATTAAAATTGATTTTCTCAACAGGTTTCCCTTTTTCCTATTTATTTAATTGCTGCTTTCAAAGTGCTCTTTTTTGTCGTAAATTGTAAAGAAGGTGAACGTATTGTTATTTTAAAAACGTCTTGTACATGAGTTAATAGGTGGATACATTGAAAAAGTTTATTGACTTGCTTGACTTGATATTGCATCAAATTTTTATTGTACACTACTGATCTCAATTTGTTGTTCAATATTGTTCAACTGCTATTTATAAAATTGATTTCTTGTAAATAATTTAAGGCCTATTAATTTTCAGATGTTTTCGAAAGGGTTTTTTTTTCAAAAAAATCCATATTATTAATTTCCATATTCCAACACTTTAAAAGTAATTCTTTCAAATATTTTCATGATAATTTATTATTATTGTAATTAAAATGTTGACTTGATTTAAAATTTTTTAAAATTGAAAAGCTGAGAGTTTAATATAAGAAAATTGTATGACTTTTTTGGGGTTAAAAAATTGAGGGCAAACATTTACAAAGAAAAATGAGATGAGAATTACTTTTTCTCTAGCAGCAGTATGCACTTCTTCAAACCTAGGCATTATTCTAGATATCGTTACTTAATCGAATGACGGTGGATAAATAAAGTCACAAACATCTATATTGCGATATCTGTTTAAAGTTTTCAACTTTTGATTTTAGTCTAATTTTTAAATATTTTCAATATATGTTGAAAATAATTATTTGATTTATTGTTTTTAATTATTTATTAGCTACAATTATTATTTTAAAATAGTAGCATTACCATTGGTTTCTTAATATACTCAATTCTGCAGACTCAGCTTCATTAAAGCGTAGTTTAAAAAAAGAGATTTTCTTAAATTGAGTTTATTCATTAAGGAATATTGATATTAAATTAGGATCTCCAATAAGAATAATTTTATTCGAAATATCTCGCGTGGAGTCAATTAATCTCGCTTTCATCAATTCTATCCAAGACCTTTTCCCTACAGTTCCATTCTTCTACCAAAAAAATAACCACAGCCTTTACCTAATTTTGTTTTTATAAATGTTTTTGCGTAGAAAGTAGAGCATGCTTTAACAATAACAAAAAATTTCAATACTGTGCATGATTATCATGGAATAAAAATATATTAAATGCTTAAAATCTTTCAGAATATGTTAAATTAAAGTTTTTCAATGATTTAATTAAACTTTCCAAAATTGTTATTAATAGTAAATTGTCATTAAGAAAAAGAAAAAAGTGTGCTTGCATGTTAATAAATATCAAACAATATTTTTCTGCATGCAAATATATTGAGTAGTGTTAAACTAATAATGTATTCGTTTAATGCATAAAAGTAAATAAATTCTTTTATGTTAATTTATTAATGACTAATTTTTCAAGGAATACTAATAATTGAATAAAAATTAAGTACTTCCAATTAATTACGAATCTACATTTTTTGTACTAGTGATTAATTTCTATAAAGTAACAATAAATTATGTATTTAATCAATTTACTAAAATTTTAAAAACTTTAATGTAAATATGTATATTTTGATTTTAAAAATTCATTTGATACGCAGTTTACGAATACATCATTTGTTGTAGAATTGAAAGAAGAAAAAGTATTGAATAATAATAAGAATTTATGATTTCGTTTAGTGCCACCACGTTGGATTCTTGAACCAACAGATAAAGCTTTTGCTCAAGGTTCTGATGCAAGAGTCGAATGTAAAGCCGATGGTTTTCCAAAGCCTCAAGTCACTTGGAAGAGGGCTGCAGGTGAGAAACTATTAACGTTTGTTAAAAAGTATTAAATAACATCTGGGTTGCCACGCATCCTGGAAACCTGTAAATGTCAGAAAGTTTTATAAACCTTGAAAAAATCTGGAAAAGTTAAAAGAAAATTTCTTTTAACTTTTCCAGATCAAAATTCAGAATTCTGGAAATTAGTTGAATTTTTTAATATATATTTTAAATTAGTTATTAAAAATAATGGATTTATAGAAGAATTTTAATTAAAAACACTAAAAAAATTAATTTTGAAGAAGGTACAAATGTTTGCAGAAATTCAATTATTTTTGAAAGGAATAAAATTCTTCGCAGAAATTCAATTATGTTCAAAATTTTTTAAAAATACTTGGCAAAATTTTAATTATTTTTATAAATTAATAAAATTCTTTTTAGAAATTCAATTATTTTGAAAATTTTAATTAAATTTTTGGCAAAATTTCACAGGAATTAAATTATTTACAAAATTTTTAATAAATTTCTTCGAAATAATTCAATTATTTTCAATAGTAATAAAATTTTCACGGGAATTCAATTATTTAATATACAAGATTTCATAAAATTTTTCGAAAAATATCAATTATTTAAAAAGATTTTTATAAAATTCGTCTCAAGAATTCAATTAAATTTAAAAAAAAATTTAACAAAATTCTTTTCAAGATTTCAATTATTTCTATAAATAATAAAATTCTTCTCCGAAATTCAATTATTTTCAAAAATTTTTCTCAATTTAATGATTTTTAATATCTACTATTTTAATAAAGTTTTACAAAACAATTCAATTATTTAAAAAAAAATTTAATAAAAATTTACCCAAAAATTTAATTTATTTTATAAATAATAAAACTTTTTTATAAATTTCTTCACAATAATTCAATTATTATTAGGTATAAATTCAATTTTTTTAAAAAAATTTAACATATTTCGAAAAAATTCAATTTTTTTCTAAAATTTTAATAAATTCATCGAAAAAATTCAATTATTTTTATAAATAGTAAAATTCTTTGCAGAAATTCAATTATTTTCAAAACAATTTTAATTGAATTCCTCGGATGAATTCAAATATTTTTAAATATTTCCATAAATTTCAATTATTTCCTGAAATTTTAATAAATTCTTCGAAACAATTTAACTATTTTTATAAATACTAAAATTCTTTGCAGGAATTAAATTATTTTTAATCCAATTTAAATAAAATTACAGGAAAGAATATAATTATTTTCAAAAATTCCCATACAATTCAATTTTAACAAGAATTTAAAATTCTCTAAAAGTAATTCAATTATTCTTAAAATATTTTTAAAAAATTCTATATAAACATTAAATTACTTTTCAATGCAATGTTTAAAAATTATATTCGTACAAAACATTGAAAGAATTCAATTATTTTCAAAAAATAGTAAAATTCTTGTGGTGAATTCAATTATTTTGAATATACTTAATTTTAATAAAATTCCTTAAATAAATTCAATTATTTTCGAAACAGCTTTAATTGAATTTCTCGAAAAAATTCCATTATTTTCAAATATTTCTATAAAATTCTTCATAACAATTTAATTATTTCTTAAAATTTTAATAAATTCTTCGAAACATTTCAATTATTTTTATAAATAGTAAAATTCTTCGCTATAATTCAATTATTTTTATAAATAGTAAAATCCGTTGCAGGAATTCAATTCTTTTCAAAGCAATTTTAATAGAATTCCTCGAAAGAATTTCAATTTTCAAATATTAACATAAAATTCATTTATTTTCTAAAATTTTAATAAATTCTTCGGAACAATTCAATTATTTTTATAAATAGTAAAATTTTTCGCAAAAATTCAATTATTTTCAATACAATTTTAATAAAATTCTTCTTCATAAAATTCAATTGCTTTCAAAATTTTCAATTAAAATTATTAAAGAAACTCCATTAATTAAAAAAAATTTCAAAGAAATTCTTCAAAAGAATTTAATTAGGATTTTTAAAAATTTTAATAAAATTCTTCGCGAGAATTAAGTTATTTTCCAAAATAATAAAATTCTTTGAAGGAATTCTATTATTATCAAATTTTTTGATAAAATTCTTTGCAACAATTCAATGATTTGCAATACATTAATTTTAAAATTGAAAATATTTGTAAAGAAAAATTATAAAAAAGTTAGGAAATAAAAAAGCAAACAACAACTGACTTCAAACTGCGAACAAATTACCGGAACATGTATTTTATTATTATTAATTATTATTATCAATTTTACAGGAGACACACCCGGCGATTACACAGATCTGAAATTAAATAATCCTGACATAAGTGTTGAGGATGGAACTTTGTCGATTAATAATATTCAAAAGACAAATGAAGGCTATTATCTTTGTGAAGCTGTAAATGGAATAGGATCCGGACTTTCTGCTGTAATACTTATTTCTGTACAAGGTATGGATATTTTTTTATTTACCTTTAATTTAACTAATTATTTTTAAATTCATAAAACACTGAAAACTATTTTATATTTCCAGCTCCGCCTCATTTTGAAATTAAACTGCGAAACCAAACTGCTCGCCGTGGTGAACCAGCAGTTTTGCAATGTGAAGCTCAAGGAGAGAAGCCAATTGGCATCCTTTGGAACATGAACAACAAAAGACTCGACCCGAAAAGCGACTCTCGCTACACAATTCGAGAAGAAATATTGGCTAATGGCGTTTTATCTGATTTGAGTATTAAGAGAACGGAACGAAGTGATTCTGCCCTTTTTACCTGTGTTGCTACTAATGCTTTTGGAAGCGATGATACTAGCATCAATATGATTGTTCAAGGTAACTTATTTCCAAGCTTCGACTTTAATCGGCTTATTTTCATAAAATGTAACTTTTTCGACTTTTATTCCATCTAAAAAAATTTTTGATTTTATCACTCGGTTGTTTTAAATATTTAATAAAACGTTGAATTTAACGATCATTCCGAGTTAGCTGACTCGGAATGATCGTTAAATTCAACGTTTTATTAAATATTTTATTCCATCTAAGTATTGCAATAAATATTTAAAACTAAATTCTTTAACCCTCGGAGTACACACTGGGTCAGTTTGACCCAAAAACCATTTCTGAAAAAAGAAGATCTCGCGTGAACTATGTATTTCTATTTATTCTTTAAGTATATCTCAAAAAAGTTCCATCGAAATCGATCTAGTCATTTTGTAATTACACTTCATAAAAAAGTAATGGCTCAGATTGACCCAAAGTTTACTCCGTAATCAAGAAAACAGGTGTGCTCTCGAAGGGTTAATTTTGTATAAATTATTAATAATTTTACTTTTTTATACTATGAAAAAAAGTTGTTCAACAAACAAACAAAACATTTAAATCAATTTGTATTAATTTTTAATCAATTTTAGATACTAAATCATTTGTTTTATTTTAATACCTAAAAATGACTTTGATTCTAAACTCCTTTGTTCTCATTTGACAACTTTTTTACAGTGCTAAAAAGTGAAATTATTAATCATTAATAAAACAAATTTAAAAAATTTAGTTTCAAAATTTTCCCAAATTTAATTTTTTTGTTTAAAATTGTTGACTTTGACAATCCCTGAAATTAACCTTAAATTTTCATTTTTACCCACAAAACTATTAAACGAAATTACAAACAACCCCAGTTTATTATCTTAATAAAAGAAATTGAATTTTTGTATTTTAATAATTCAGGGCTTGAACTAGGTCCGTAAATCCCGTAAAGATCCGTAAATTTGCTTCAAGTCCGTAAAAGTCAGTTTTTTTTGAAAAAATGTCCGTAAAGTCCGTAATTTGATTGAAAAAAGACGAAAAGTTCGTAATATTTGTTATATAGGGGAGACTGGGGTAAACCCGCTCACTTTTTTTCAGATCGGCTAAAATCTAGGAAATTATTCTCTAAATCCAAGTTAATTTATATCATTTGAAAGCTTATGATTTCTACTAAAAAAATTAAAAAGAGTTTTTGATTTATATTTTTTAGTTTTACTTAGAGAAACTTTTTAATAAACGTATACCAAATTTCGAAATCACAATTTTCCAGGGTAAACCCGCTCACCTTATCTTTTCAAGACGGAAGAGTTTTATTTTTTAAATATTAAAGTTCGCCTTATTCCCGTCTTAAGTATGAATTATTATTGATAATTTATGAGTTTTATAAACAATTCTATAAACAACAAATTGGTTTAATAAATAATGAACATAGATTTCATGAATTACAACTATGGATTTAAATAGTGTTATATTTTATTAAGAGAAAGTGAAATGTAGTTACAATTTTGGTTTTAATAAGTCATAAATTGTGTTATTGTTGAAATATAATACGTGAAATTATTTTATTCTAAATTTTAAATTTAAAACTAAGTGAGCGGCTTTACCCCGACTTCACGTGAGCGACTTTACCCCGAGTGTATTCCTCACATTTCAGAATAAATTTAATTAAATCTTTTTAAAATAAGACAAAACTATATATGTACTTCGAAGAAGGACATCCAATAGCAACAAAAAAAATTTGCCAGATAAATTAAGACTCAAAAATAATGATCGAAAAACTTAAAAATCCAAAATACGTTTTTTTTCTGACACCTCTAAAAACATTTGATCGTCTCTGATTCTATGTTGAGTTCATGAAACTAAACGAAAGTTCGTTAATATAAGTTGAATGTCAAGTACTATTCACAGTACCAATATCTTCATCTTAAGTTGAGTTCATGGCGTAAAATCGCTAGTGAGCGGGTTTACCCTGTGAGCGGGTTTACCCCAGTCTCCCCTAATTAAGAGAATTTTAGAGAAATTACAAATGATTGCATAAATTCAATTATTTTCAAAAGTAATAAAATTCTTCGCAGAAATTCAATTATGTATGTTCAAAAATTAAAAAAAATTTTTCGTCAAAATTTAAATTATCTTTAGAAATAATTAAATTCTTCTCCGAAATTCAATTATTTTCAGAACTTTTAATAAAATTCTTGGCAAAATTTCAATTATGTTCAAAAATTTTCCTAAATTCAATGATTTTTAATATCTATTTTTTCAATAAGATTTTCCAAAAGAATTCAATTATTTAAAAAGAATTTTTGACAAAATCCTGCGCAAACCTTTAATTATTTTCATAAAATAATAAAAATTTTATAGGAATTCAATTATTTTCGTAAATAATAAAATTCTTCTTAGGGATTTAATTATTTTCGCAAATAATAAAACTCATTGCAGAATTTCAATTACTTTTAATACAATTTTAATCGAATTCCTCAAAAAATGTAATTATTCTAAAATATTTTATTAAAATTCGTCAAAAGAATTCAATTATTTAAAAATTTATTAATAAAATTTTTTATGAAAATTCTGTAATTATTCAATAAATTGTTTTTTTGTCTTTAAATAATTAACTTCTAGTAAAATTTTCTAATAAAAATTAATTTAAAAATGGATTTCAGTAAAAATTTTATATTATAATTGAATATTAAAAACATTAGAGCTTGAATTTTTAGATAATAATTGAATTTGGAAAAGGTTTGAAATTACGAATTTTTCGTATTTTTAACTATCATTTCGTTGAATTAATTATTTTGAAAAAGTTTAATTGAATTTTTTTTGTTGAAATTATTTCAAGTTTTTATTTTCTAATACATATATTTAATTGAAAAATTTACGAATAATTAAAATTTGTAAAATTGAATTGTAGACAAATGAATTTGAAAATTCTCAGAGAACTTTTTCAAAAATTATTTTAAAAAATGAATTTATAGAATAATTTTAGTTAAAAACACTAAAATAAATTTAATTTTGAAAAAGTTACAAATTATTGCAAAAATTCAATTATTTTCAAGAGTAATAATATTCTTTGAAAAAATTAAATATTGTTCAAAAATAATGAAATTCTTCCTAATGATTCAATTATTTACACGAATAATAAAACTCATCGCAGAATTTCAATTATTTTTAATACAATTTTAATCGAATTTCTCGAAAAATGTAATTATTCTTAAAAATATTATTAAAATTTGTAGAAAGAATTCAATTATTTAAAAATTTGTTGATAAAATTCTTTCTAAAAATTGGATTTTAAGAAACATTCAATTATTCAATAAATTATTATTTATTTTTGAATTTAAATAATATTGAATTATCGTAGAATTTTCTAATAAAAATTTATTTAAAAATTAATTTCAGTTACAATTTTAGATAATAAATGAAAATTAAAAGCAATATAGCGTGAATTTTTAGAAATAATTGAATTTTGAAATTAATGGTTTTGAAGAAGTTTAATTGAATTTTTTTATATTATTTGAAGTTTTTATTTTCTAACCTATATATTTAATTGAAGAATTTACGAATAATTGAAATATCGTAAAATTGAATATTGTAAACAAATAAATTTGGAAATTCTTAAAGAACTTTTTCGAAAATTATTAAAAATACATAATTGATTTAAAGTAGAATTTTAGTACAAAATTCTTGAAAATAATAATTAAACTGATAATGATTTTATTACTCGGTCATCTTTAATTATTATGAAAAATTATAAAAAATTTAATTTATACTTTTAACTAAAATGTTCTCTTATTTGACTCGGACTGGTTATATTTTTGTCAGTAATTAACCCATAAATGGTCCGCAATTTTTCATTTTTGGTCCGTAAAGTCAGTATTTTTTTAAAAATACTTTCACTGGTTCGAGCCTTGATAATTGAATTCTGGAATAAAATGGACGACTTTTGTTTACACTTTTTGTACTTTGAATGGACTAACACGATTTTTTTAGCCTTAAAGACTCAAGCAGGTATAATATCAGAAAAACGTAATTTTCTCAATTTCAGAGGTTCCGGAAGTTCCATATGGCTTAAAAGTACTAGACAAATCTGGAAGATCAGTTCAATTATCGTGGGCAGCTCCTTATGATGGAAACAGTCCTGTAAAACGATATGTTATTGAATATAAAATCAGCAAAGGCTCATGGGATAGTGACATTGATCGAGTTGTAGTTCCAGGATCTCAGCAAAATGTCGCAGGCGTTTTTAATCTCAAGCCCGCCACAACTTACCATTTAAGAATTGTTGCAGAAAACGAAATTGGCACTTCTGATCCATCTGATACAGTGACAATCATTACAGCAGAAGAAGTTCCTTCAGGTCCGCCAAGTTCCGTCAGAGTCGAAGCTCTGGATCAGCACAGTTTGAAAGTAAATTTCAAAATATTAAATATGAAAAGTAAACAAAATTTTATTTGCGTATATGAAACTGATAAAAAAAATTTTGTAGGTAACGTGGAAACCCCCTCCCCGAGAGGATTGGAATGGAGAAATTTTGGGCTACTATGTGGGATACAGACTATCGTCTTCCGAAAAACCTTACATGTTTGAAACAGTTGAATTTTCAAAAGAAGATGGAAAAGAGCATCATTTGCAAATTACGAATTTAAAAATATACACACAATACAGCGTCGTTGTACAAGCCTTTAATAAAGTTGGATCCGGTCCTATGAGTGAAGAAAGAAGACAACACACTGCCGAAGGAGTACCAGAGCAACCACCTCATGACACTACATGTACTACTCTTACTTCGCAAACCATCCGAGTTTCTTGGTCTTCACCTCCTTTGAGTGCTGCGAATGGGGTCATTACTGGATATAAGGTATTTATTCAAATAAAACACTTATTAACTAAATCTATTTCAGATGTATGTATTCGTAATTTTTAATAAATCACACAAAGATTTTAGCATTTGACAAGTTTGAAAATAATTTAAAAATTAAAATTTCTTGACATTTTTTTAGTATGTACCTTTATAGCAGACTTTACAATCATCTACTAAAACCTACTATTTACTACTGTTTTTACGTTATGTTACTATTTGGCTACTTTTTTGAAATTTCAGCCACTAAAAGCTATTATTTCTGTTTTTTTTAGAATTTCCACTACTTCAAATTCGCTAAAACCAGAAATCAAAAAACTATTTTCAAAAGTTATAATCAAATTCTTTAAAACGATTCAATTATTTTCAAAAAATATTCGAAATTCAATTATTTTCAATATCTAGTATTTTCATAAAATTTTAATTATTTAAAATAAAATTTTCATAATATTTATTATATTTCGAAAAATGAATTATTTAAAACAATGTTTATAAAATTCTTATGAAGAATTAAATTATTTTCAAAAATAACAAAAGTTTTTACAGAAATTCAATTCTTTTTAAACATTTTAATACAATTTTTCAAAATAATAAGATTATTTCCATAAATAATAAAATTCTTCACAGAAATTCATTTATTTTTGAAAATTTTAATAAAATTCTTTGCAACTATACAATTATTTTCATAAATAATAAAATTCATCGCAGGATTTTAATTATTTTTAATACAATTTTAGAGAAATTGCTCAAAAAATGTAATTATTCTTAAAAATTTATTTTCAATTCCTCGAAAAAATGTTATTTTAAAATTCTTTGGAAGAATTTAGGAATTAAATTATTTTCAAATATTTTAATAAAATTCTTTGTAAGAAATCAATTATTTTAAATACAATTTTAATTAAATTTTTTTGAAATATTTAAATTATTCTTTTAGATTTCAATAAAATTCTTCCCAAGTATTCAATTATTTACATAAATCATTCTTCAAAAGAATTCAATTATATCGATAATTAACAAAATTATTCCTGAAAATTCAATTATTTTTTCATTACAAGAATTCAATTATTTTTAAAAGTAGTAAATTTTTTCTCGGAAATTCAATTATTTTAAAAAAAATTCTAATAAAATCGTTCTCAAGAATTCAATTATTTTTAAAAATATTTAATAAAATGCCACACAAACATTCAATTATTCTTAAAAATTTAAATAGAACTCTTTGTAAAATTTAATTATTTTTAAAACTTTTCGCAATTCAATGATTTTCAATATCTACTATTTTCATAAAATTTCCAAACAGAATTCAATTATTTAAAAATTTTTTGTAAAAATCTTCGTAAGAATTCAATTCTTTTCATGAATAATAAAATTCGTTGCAGAAATTCAATTTATTAGCCGGATAAGAAAGAAATAAATATTTTTGATGAAAATTAGGAAAAAGTTAGTAAAATAAAAAATCAGGAATGGAATTTTTTTCAGTTTTGTGAACTGAAAAGTTTAATTTTTTGATAGCTAATTTTTTACTACTTTTCTTTAGTTTGAAAGAAACTTTTTGCTACTTTTTCAAAATTAATTATTGAGCGAGAACTTTGTTATAGTTTTCCATTTTGGATATTGAATGGTATTTAGCCAATTTCATTAAAACTAATTTTCTTGAAGTTTATTAATTTTAATTCATGCAGAAAAAACAAAATTTTAAGGAATGTAAAAAGATAATGTTCAAAATTTTTTAACAAACGCCTTAAGTGCGAAAACCTACACGGCTAATAACGGCACAGCATTGTCAAAGTTACTTTTAAAAATGTACTGGCCATAAGAATGTATTTTTTAAAATATATTTTAAATATGAAATTGTGTTATTTATATTAACTTCATTTATAGATTATTTACGGACCATCAGAATCATGGTATGACGAAAATACAAAGGATACAAAGATCACATCATCCAGCGAAACAATTCTACACGGTTTAAAAAAATATACCAACTATAGTATGCAAATACTGGCCTTTACTTCTGGTGGAGATGGAGTTAAGTCTGCGCCTATTCATTGCCAAACTGAACAAGACGGTAATATCATCTTTCATGAATAACAAATTTTTTAATTTAGGTTCAATTTTATACAGTATTTTGAAATGATTTTAGCTCCTGAAGCACCCATTGCTATCAAAGCACTAGTCATGTCCGCCGATTCTATTCTTGTTTCCTGGCGACCACCAAACCAACCCAACGGAGTGATTTCTCAATACACTGTATACACCAAAGCTGATGATTCCGAACAGCCAATTAGTCAAAAAGTGCTCTCTAATCAGTTAACACATGAAGCAGCGAAGCTGAGTGATAAGCGTAGATATGACTTTTGGGTGACAGCAAGCACAAATATTGGTGAAGGACAAGCTTCCAAAATAGTTACATTATCTCCAAGTGTCAGTGGTAAGACTCATTAGTTTCTTTCATCTACATTCATTTATAAAAATACAGGGTTGCCACGCAACCAGGAAAACATGGAAATGTCAGGGAATTTTTATCGAAATCCTGGAAAATTTTTGTTTTCTAAAGTTATTGTGATTATTCTTGAAATTTAATTAATTTTTAGAATTAATAAGAAAATTTTGAATTTTGGTGTTTTTTTTGTTAAAACGAGGAAATTATCACGAATTCTAATACAAAACCTTCCATTTTTTCCATTTCTGACAATAATTTATTCTAAACAATTCAATTATCTTTAACAACTGTCATAAAGTTATTATTCATAAATTATTTAATGAATAATTTAACTTAAATATTTCAAAATTAATTCAATTTTAAAAGAGTTGCGTTTATAATTTTCATAAATAGATGAACTTCAAAAAGTTTTAATATTAAATTTTTAGAAAATTGAAATTTTCAATGAATTTAATTAGAAATTATAAAGAATTTTGATTTTTGAAAAATAAAAAAGAACTCAACGCAAAATTACAATTATTTTCAATACAATTTTAATCGAATTCAATAAATTATTATGAATAAAAATAAATTTAAATATGGATTTTAGTTAAAAACACTAAAAAAAATAAATTTTTTTAAAAAAGTTACAAATGATAGCAGAAATTCAATTATTTTCAAATATAATAAAATTCTTCACAAAAATTAAATTATGTTCAAAAATTAAAAAAAATTCTTATCAAAATTTAAATTATTTTTATTTTTAAATAATTATTTAAAAAAAAATTTTAACAGACTTCCACACAAACTTTCAATTATTTCCATTAATATAATAAATATTCCACTGGAATTAAATTATTTTCAAATTTTCTATAAATTTCTTCGCAATAATTCAATTATTTTCATAAATAATAAAATTCTTTTTAGGAATTCAATTATTTTCATATTAATATAAATAGAACTCATCGCAGAATTTCAATTATTTTCAGTAAAATTTTAAGAAACATTAAATTTTCTAATAAAAATTGATTTAAAAATGACTTTCAGTTAAAATTTAAAATAATAATTGATATAAATTTCTCAAAAAATGCAATTCTTTATAATTTTATTAAAATTCTTCTAAAGAATTCAATTATTTTCGAAAATTTTAATATAATTCTAGTCAAGAATTCAATTATCTTCATAAATAATTTAATTCTTTTTAGAAATTTAATTATTTTCATAAATAATTAAATTCTTTTTAGGAAAACAATTATTTTCATAAATAAAACTCATCGCAGAATTTCAATTACTTTTTAATACAATTTTAATCTAATTTCTTCGAAAAATGTAATTATTTGTGAAAATTTTATTTGATTTTATCAAAAGAATTCAATTATTTAAAAATTTGTTGATAAAATTCTTTGTGAGCATTCAATTTTAAGAAATATTCAATTAATCAATAAATCATTTATTTTTGTATTTAAATAATTGAATTTTCGTAGAATTTTAAAATTAAAATTTTTGAAATTCTGAATTTTTCATACTTTTAACTAAGAATTGCGTAGAATGAATTTTTTTGAAAAAGTTTAATGGATTTCTTTTGAAATTATTTGAAGTTTTTCTTTTCTAATTTATATACTATTTAATTGAAGAATTTCTGACTAATTCTTATAATGCAATTTCTGCAATTCTTTATTCTTATGTAGTATTATTTGTAAATGGCTTTTTATGCCCGTTTATACATTTAAATAAATAAATAATATAAAATAATGATTTTAGCACTCAGTCATCTTTAATTATTATAAAACATGATGAAAGTAAACCTTGTCTTCATGTTTTATAATAAATTATTCTTTCAAGTTATTGAATTTCAAAAGGTTTGAATGTGATATTTTTGAAAATTTTAATTCCTATGGAAAAATAATAATTGATGTTTTCAATTAATTTTATAATTATAAAAATTCGTAAATCTATTTTAAAATTTTCTAAGTTTTAAAAACCTGGAAAAATTTCGTTTTTTTAACTGAAAACCTGGAAAAGTCAGGGAATATCAAATGAGCAAAAGCTTGGCAACCCTGATATAATTCTCCAAATTCTATTTTATTATGTTTTTACAGTTCCTGCGAAAATTGCCTCATTCGATGACAAATTTACTGCCACATACAAAGAAGATGTTAAGCTGCCATGTCTCACGGTTGGAGTGCCAGCACCAGAAGTTAAGTGGAATCGAGGAGGTGACGCTGTGCAACCAAACGACAGACTTAGACAATTGCCAGAAGGTTCTCTTTTCCTGAAAGAAGTGGATCGTGAAGACGCTGGAGAATATTCCTGTTATGTAGAAAATTCATTTGGACATGACACTGTTACTCACCAATTAGTAGTTAACGGTATATGCTTAAATTCAATTGTCAACAATTTAGTAATTTTCTAATCATTTATAGGATTGCCTGAAATTAAATGTTGAGTATTATTTTAGCTCCTCCTCAACCACCGCAAGTTCAACTCACTGCCACTACAACTAATTCTCTGACACTGAAACTTCGACCTCTCTCTGGAGACAATGCACCAATTCATGGATATACAATTCACTATAAATTGGAGTTCGGTGAATGGGAAACTGTTCAAATTGGATCAAATACTCAAAAATATACTTTAGAAAATCTTTTATGTGGATCTAGATATCAAGTTTATGTCACTGCCTACAATGGGTGCGTAAAGTTCAAATATCATTTTAAAAATATTTTTTTCAAAGAATATTTAAAAATAATAAATTTTAAATTTAAATATTTTAAAATATTTCTAAATGTGCGTTTAGGAACAATATTTTACTGGTTTATTTTTAATTAAACTCTTGAAAGTCAGAATCAGTTAAACCTATTATTAAATTCCTTAAATTTTGAAAATGTTTCTCATATTTTCATTTAATCCAAACTAGAAGTAAAAGATTGAAAAATTTGTTGGCGAAAAGTTTGATGAATTTCTTTACATTTGAATGTTTATTTCAGAATTGGTACAGGAAAACCGTCTGATATATTAAACATTCGTACCAAAGGACAAAAACCAAGTGTACCTGAAGCAACAAGGTTTATCGAAGTATCAACTAACAGTATAACTCTGCATCTGAATGCCTGGTCCGATGGAGGATGCCCGATGCTCTATTTCGTAGTTGAACATAAAAAGAAGTAAATGACAATAATTTTTGAAATCAACTATTATAATTAGATTATCTTTAACAATTCTCAAATTGTACCAAGAATTAAAAAAAATGATCTAATTTCTTTTTGATCAGTTCATAAATGATGCTATTTAATATTTAAATCAAAATTTCTAAATATTTTTAATCTATGTTATTTCAGAAATCAACTTGAATGGAATCAAGTTTCTAATAGTGTTAAACCTGGAGGAAACTTTGTCGTATTAGACCTGGAACCTGCAACTTGGTATCAATTACGCGTGACGGCGAATAATAATGCAGGATTTCAAGTTGGAGAATTCGACTTTGCAACTTTAACTGTAACTGGAGGTAAATTTGTTTTTGATTAATTTTGTATTTATCTGAAATCAATTTATAATTTTGTCCAATTCAATGTTTTAATTGTGATAAATAATTTCAAATTTATTTTAAAAATCACACAGCTCAACAAAAGCAAAGTGTCGGGGTTTTAGTACATTACTTTATTCTAATCAGACTTGCGCCCAACTCTCATTTATGTTGGTCGAAACGACCAATTTTTTAAAAACCGATTAAGTTAAAAAACTAGAAATAGGAGAGGAGACTCTTTCACTCAAGGAAACAAAAATTTTTTTTTTGAGTTTTTTCTTGGAACAAAACTAGGGGTTGTTTATTATTGAAAAAAATGACCATGCATTTTTGTACTAATAACTACATTTATTACAAAAAGTAAAAAGTAACACATTTCTATCAGATTTAAGGGAACAGTGTCAAAATATCAGAAAAATCTTGAACATTTTTTTTCTTTTTTTGTTATTTTTTTTTACTAAAAATTGTATTAGAAAAAAAATAAAAAAGAAGACGACATGAGATAACCAACAGCGATGTATATTTATATAAAAAGTGCCAAATACAACGCACGTTATAAAAGTAAAATGATGATCTATGCAAACACTGAAAAAAATGTCAACTACTGAGGTGATGGAGCAAAACGGACTTAAGATTCCTGTTCAGCGTTACAAAATATATGAAAGAATAGTCTGATCCTCGAACCCTGGCACTTTTTTGTGAAGCTATGTTATGTTCTACCTCTGATTTTCTTTTTAAGAATATTAGGGGACTGTTTCAGGACCATTTTGCAAGATAAATTAAATTCAAAGACTGAGCACTTTTTAATCGCGTTTTTTAGATTTTTTTTATAATTTTTTTAAAGAAAAGTCGTATTTACTCTCCACTTATTCATTATCTTATTATATTTCTTTTCTTAGAAGTATACATAACACAATATAAAGAAATTATAAAAATTTAACTTCAAAAACATTTTATTTATTAACCCATTAACGCCTGAATGCACTGAAATTTTAGTCTGACTTCAAACTTGAATATTTTTTAATAAACATATTATTTTCTCTTCGAAAAAATTTTTTTTATTAATTAGAGTGTCCCCTACCCGAATATGATGTAAAAAAATTATTAAGGAATTGTTTAACAATATTTTTTTGCATATAATTAAAAAATTGCACGATTTTTAAGATTTTTTATTAAAAAAACTTAAATTTAAGAGTCAAAAAAATGTTTTCAACAACTAATATTTTTATAAATTGCGCATTCGATTATTACACTTTTAAAATATATGTCGACCTTTTGAATATAAACTTCTGATTTTTTAAAGTGGCGCTTAAAAACTCGAAAATTTTAAATGTATTGTTCGATGTACTATTTTTCAAAAATCAGGTTTAGAATGCTTACTCGGGCGTTTCCCGAGTCTCTGAATATGAATCTGATGTTTGTTTTCTAAAATTCAAAATGGCGGATCCAATATGGCAGACGACATTTTTAAAAATCAGTCAGATTCTCTTGAAAATCCTTACTCGGAGGTTTTCGGGGTCGCTGATTATGAATCTGGTATTAGTTTTTCAAAATCCAAAATGGTGGATCTTAGATGACGGAGATTTTAAATAATTTGTTGGATTCACTTGAATTTGAAGTTAGATCTAAATTGCACTGAAGGTCTCGAAGTATTTTTCAAATACGTTTGCTGAAGCATAAGACAATAATAATAATAATAATAATAATAATAATAATAATAATAATAATAATAATAATAATAATAATATTCAATAAATAGAGAGTAAATACGATTTTTCTTTAAAAAAATTTTTTTTTAATTTGAAAAATCGCGATTAAAAAAAGTGCTCAGTCTTCGATTTTAATTTTTCTTGCAAAATGGTCCTGAGACAGTCCCCTAACATTTCCAAAAAGAAAATGAGAGGTAGAAGAAAGTTGAAGTTGAAATTACTTGAGGACCACCGTGAGAAGGTTAGACTGAAGAGTGAAAAGAGACTGAAATTATACTGGTCTGACTCACATTTCAGTCTAAATTTTTGAGGTACTTAGGTAGACAGATTTAAAATCTCTTAACCCATTAACGCCCAACTCGTGAAAATTCTTTGGTCATTTTCAAGCTACGTAATTATAAATAAAATGGTTGACAATTTATACTAGAGGTACATTTTCTAAAGGTTTTGGATGTGCTCTTTTCGATTCCGGTGTCAAAAATAAATTTCGTTCAAACCAAAATTAAATATGGCGGTTTTAATGTCAAAAAACAGAAAAAAAATTCATTTTTTCAAGTTTGACGTTTTTTTTACCTCGAAAAAGTGTAAGAATAAAATTCTATTTTCAACCATCGGTGCATAAAAATTATACACTTCCGAGAAAAGTAAAGTAGAAATTAAAATTTCAAGATGGCGGACCAATATGGCGTCAAATCTAATGTAAAATTTGAAAATTTTGGGCAATATTCTTCATATTGCCCAAAAGTCAATGAATTCGCCTAAATTTTGTTACTCGAGGCTTTTCGGTGTCGCTGATTACGAATATGAACTTTATTTTTAAAAATTTTAAATGGCGGATCCAATATGGCGGACGAGTTTTACAAAAATTCATCAAATTCACTTGAAACTTGTCGCTCGGGGGTTTTTGGGGTGGCTGATTACGAATATGAACTTTATTTTCAAAAATTCAAAATGGCGGATTCAATATGGCGGACGAATTTTTTAAAATTGATCAAATATGAAGAATATTGCCATCTTAAAATTTTAAATTCTACTTTACTTTTCTCGGAAGTGTATAATTTTTATGCACCTACGGTTGAAAATAGAATTTTATTCTTACACTTTTTCGAGGTGAAAAAAATGTCAAACTTGAAAAAATGAATTTTTTTGTGTTTTTTGACATTAAAACCGCCATATTTAATTTTGGTTTGGACAAAATTTATTTTTGACACCTGAATCGGAAAGGGCAACACCAAAACCTTTAGAAAATGTACCTCTGGTATAAATTGTCAACCGTTTTATTTATAATTACGTAGCTTGAAAATGACCAAAGAATGTTCACGAGTATAAAATGTAAGTTAAATCAAGAAACCCAACATTCACCATTTGAAAAAAAAAATTTAAATTGATAACCAAATTGAATAAATAAAATTCTTGTAAGGTTTTCAATATTTATTACACCCCTACTTTAACAATAGATCCTAACATCTATTGTTATGTAGGTTTCTAATTATATGACTAAAAAAATTTGCAATTTAAACAAATTAAGGTTAAAAACTAAAAACTTAGAATCTGTAAAGGTTCCTGATATCATTTTTTAATTCAACTTGCAATGGAAATTTACTATTCACAATAAGAAAAAGTAGTTATTTATTTTTTTATGAAAAATAAATATAATATTAAAAGTAAATAAAATTTATTTTTAACGTTAACAAAAAGAGACGCATCTTCTAATTTTATGTCGATTAAGCTATAAAATCAACCTTTCACGACCCTTTTTCCAGGAAAATTTCTCAATCTCGTTTCAGTATAAATTTGCAGCAAATTTATTCTAAAACGATTCTGAGACAAACCATGGCATTCAGTTGGAATTACTTTTAATTAGAAAAAATATTTTAGTTGGTAATATTTTTTTCCAAGTTTACAACTCTTTTTTTTCTACGTCGAATTCTCAGCACATGAGAAATTATTATTTTTCGTTATGTTTAGATTGTATAATTTATTTTGTAAATGAAGTTCGCGTACCCGGTGCTAAGGTGGCTGGTAAACTTTTATTTCTTTGTTCCAGGCACCATTGCACCGGCTCGCGAACTTCCTGAAGTAGTAAATGGTAGCAACGAAGACCCAATGAAAATTTTAATGTCAAACCTCAACCTCGTTGTGCCTGTGGTAGCAGCTATACTCGTGATCATAATTGCTATCATCGTTATTTGTGTTCTCAAAGGGAAAGGTCACGATAACGAGAAAGGTAAGACATAGTTTTTAAACGATTTCTTTATTTAACAGGTACAATTGCGCCGCCATTCCGAAGTGACACTGGCAAAGCGAACATCGTGGAAGGCGAAAGCAACGACTTGGCTGTCAAGAAGATTTTCTCTTTCCTACCCGAATGGCTCGATATCAATGTAATTGTGCCAGCAGCAGCTACTGTCGTTGTCATTATTGTAGGAATTGTTGTCATCTGTGTAGCACTCTCCAGAAGAGCTGGCGGACCAGAAACTACAAGGCTTAGAGGAATTTCGTCGGCCGATGAAAAATATTACGAAGGACAATGTATAAAATTATGATATTTTACATAAATCAGAACGAAAGATGCAGAAAGACCTATTAGATTGTTATTCGTTTGGCAAAATTTTAATTCAATTAGTAAAAAGCAATTTCACTTGCACTGATACAGTCAAAAAATTGAGATTTTAACTTTAACTTTTTATGTACTTTTCAATTTCAAAAACAGGGTTGCCACAGGAAATCAGAGAATTCAGGGAAATCAGGGAAAAGTCAGTGATTTTTATTAAAAGTACTGGGAAAAATTAAATGTTTAATATTTATTAAAAAATTCTGAATCAACTATGAAATTACCACGAATTCTGAACAAAAACCTTCACTTTTTTTCTATTTCTGACAATAATTTATTTTTAAATAACAATTCTATTGAAGAATTATCATAAAGTTATTCCTTATAAATCATTTAATGAAATATTTTTTTGAAAAAATTTAATTTCAATTCTGTTGAAATGAGTTTCAATTTTAAAAGTTTTAACGTAATTCTTTAAAAGAATTCAACTATCTTAATAAATATGAAAATTCTTTTCAGAAATTCAATTATTTTCAAAATTTTTTTTTAAAATTCTCGTCAACATTTTAATTATCTTTATAAATAGCAAAATTTTTCGTCGAAATTCAATAATATTCAGGAATTTTTATTGAATTCACAGCAAAATTCAATTATTTTCATAAATAACAATATTCATCACAAAAATTTAATTACTTTCATAAATTATCAAATTCTTCGCAGAAATCCAATTACTTTCAAAAAATCAAAAAAAAATTGTCGTCAACATTTCAATTATCTTTATAAATGAATAGGAAAATTCTTCGACAAAATTCAATTATTTTCAGGAATGTTAATAAAAATCATAGCAAAATTCAATTATGTTTATAAATAATAGTAATTATTACAAAAATTCAATTATTTTCAAAAATTTTAATAAAAATCGTGTTAAAATTTTATTCATTTTCAAAAATTTCTCTTTATTAAATGATTTTCAATATTCTACTATTTTAATCAAATTTCTGAAAAGAATTCAATTTTTAATCAAACATTTTGATAAAATTCTACACAAATAGTCAATTATTTTTCAAAAAAGAAACTTCACAGGAATTCAATTATTAAAAATAAAATTTGAATCAATTTTTTTGAAAATTTTTTATAAAATTCTTCGCAATAATTCAATTATTTTCAAAATTAATAAAATTCTTCGCAGAAATTCAAATATTTTTAAAATATTAAAAAAAAATATTTTATTTCAATAATTTTTAAAAATTAATAGGAAAATTTTTCGACAAAATTCAATTATTTTTATAAATAATAGTATTTATCACAAGAAATCAATAATTTAAAAGAAAAATTTCACAGAAATTCAATTATTAAAAATAGAATTTTAATAAATTTTTTGGAAAAAAATCATTTGTTTGAAACTTTTTTAAAAAATTCTTCGCAATAATTCAATTATTTTCATAAATAATAAAACTCATCACAGAATTTCAATTATTTTTAATACCATTTTAATCGGATTTCACGAAAAATGTAATTATTCCGAAAAATTTTATTAAAATAAGTCGAAAGAGTTTAATTATTTAAAAATTTGTTGATAAAATTATGTATAAGAATTGAATTTTAAGAAACATTCAATTATTCAGTAAATTATCTATGTTTGTATTTAAATAATTAAATTCACGTAGAATTTTATAATAAAAATTGATTTAAAATTTAATTTCAGTTAAAGTTTTAGATAATAATGGAATTTTTGAGAATTTACTAATAATTGAAATTTTTAGAAATTAATTATTTCAAGTTTTTATTTTCTAATGTATATTTAATTGAAGAATTTCTAAATAATCGAAATTTCACGTAAAATTGAATTGTAAACAAATGGATTTGGAAATTCTCAAGAAGAACTTTTTCGAAAATTATTAAAAATAATTGATTTAAAGAAGAATTTTATTTAAAAATTGTAGAATTTTTATATCAGTTATTGATTTATTTATTTATTTAAAAATGAAGTCATTGGTGTTTTTAAATAATTTTACAATTACGAAAATTCTTAAATAAATGTAATAGAACATTTTTTTTTGAGTATCTAATAATTTTTAGAGTGAATCAGAATATTCTTTAGGGTCAGGGAAAAAGTCAGAATTTTGTCTTAAAATCAGAGAAAAGTCAGGGAAAAACAAAATTTAATTTTTGTAGCAATTCTGAAAAAGAATTTAAAATAAAAATTTTTTAACCTCTCCTTTTTCAAAAATGAAAAAATAAGGTTTATTTCTGAAAAAAGGTGGCTTAAAAATTTTAAAAAAAGATTCTTTGAAATGAAAAGTATACAAAAAATTCTTTAAAATTCACTATATAGAAATTAAAATCTGTCAAGTTTTGTTATTTCAGGATTTTATTACTTTTATATAGAATAACAATTTACCAGAGTTTCAAGCCATTATCAGGAAATTAAAAATTTTATTCAATCGTTTTACGTGGAATTGTTCTAAAGCTTTAAAAGTTTGTCATTGAACAATATTTATAAAATTTAATCTTACTTTGTTATCTATTTTAAAATCGGTCTTACTGCAAAGCTATTTTAATTTCATAGCCTTACAAAAGAGCATTCATCGGAAGTGAAGTCATTGTTCGATTTTTATCGTTCGCTTTCTTTATCAATAAAAAAAAGTATATAGTGTTTTCTAAGACACTGAAATTTAATTTTGCTTTTTAATTTTTAAAGTCAAATATTAATGGAAGAAACATTAACATCATTGAGTATTTCAAAAAATTCAATTGTCTAGTTTACTGCAAAGGATTTTTTTTTTAAGGGCTATGTTTTTTATGTACTTGTAAATTTTGCAATTCAGAAATTTTTTACAAATTCGGACAACAGTTAATAATTCTTATTATTACTATAGTGATAACTAATTTAATGAGATTTTATCTCTACACACAAGTTTTGGTCAATTTTTAGAACAGAAAATTTGCGCTCAAGAGTAATTTATGTTGTTAAAAATATTTGGAAAGTTATCAAAGAAATTTAACATTTCACTAAGTTGAAGTTTTGATACACTATAAACATTTTTCGTCCGATATTGTAACTAATGCACTTTATGATAATTAAATGTGCATCCCAATAATATTAATTTTGTTTCTTACGCTAGATGATGTGGTGTATCAGCAAACTGGAGTCGTAGGCACAACCCTGGATAAGCGAAGGCCCGACCTTCGAGATGAACTCGGCTACATTGCGCCGCCAAACCGGAAATTGCCCCCAGTTCCAGGATCAAACTACAATACGTGTGATCGTATCAAGAGAGGTACAGTCATAAGTAAGCCCAACCAGCTAATAATTTAACGATGATAACCTTTACTTATCATTATTGTCGCATCAGCACGTTCTTTCTTCTCAGTGAATAGAAAGACAATTTATAGGTAGTATACGGTCAGCGTCATTATATATACGCATGGATGAAAATATTTACTATTTTTCGCCTTGTTCCATGTGTATTTACTATTTACTATTTACAAATTACATTTTACAAATTACATTTTACATGCCATCCCTACTCACATCATTTCACATGTTGCTAGAATCACGCTTACTATTTTTCATAGATTACAAATACCTTGCTTTGCTTCTTCATTTTTTATATTTATAACACTTTTTCACCGGAATGACAGATTCAATTTTATATTTACTATATTCTTCTCAGACATGTTAAGTGTGTGGAAAACTATACTTCTTCTCGTTTAATGAATTTTTAAAAAATTCAATTCCTTTTTTAAAGAATTGAGTAAATGCTAGAATGTCTTTGTTAGGACATTCTATCTCTTTTCATGAAAGTCAGCACAAAATTCGCAAATAGGATTTGAACTTATTTGCATTGCTGAATTATGTATCAATTGACATGTATAAAACCTCTTATGAATCAGTCGGCTCCAACGGGACCTGAGTAGTTGTATTTCTATTTTGTGGACGAGGTATGATCCTTCTGCGATTCTTCAAAACCTGAATCCAAAAATAGCGGTCCAATAAATCAAAAAAGTCTTCCGCACCAAGTTCGGTTATGGAAGTTTAGATAATACTACCAATCAGGATGCCAATAGCAATCTTCTTTAGCTTCCCAACATTTCTACCCGGATTCAGAAACTCAATGAGAACAATGTGTCTATAGAAACATTATTGAAACATTGGTTGTACGAAAACTTGGTTTTCACATTCCTTCAGATCGAGGAAACCTGTTTAATGAAATTAAACTGTTTCTTAAATGTCTTAACTGTTTCAGGCGAATTCCATTGTCTTTAGAAACAGAAAATTAAAGATGTATAACAGTTCGAACACTTATTTACAAAGGAGTATTAAAAATTAGAGATATTTAAACCATCAAAAACTTTTCAAAACGTCTAAGATGTCGTTTTATCTTCCCACTTAGAAAAATTGCAAGGAAGTACCCCCCTGGAAATTCCATGAAATTTCTGTGTAGTTTCCATGGAAATTCTCTAAGTTTTTTATTCTATAAATATTTTAACATTTCCAGGATTGCAACAGGCTAGGAAAAAGTCAGGGATTTTCGTTGAAGTACTGGAAAAAATAAAAATTAAAAGAAGTTACAAATAATTGCAGAAATTCAATTATTTTCATAAATATAATGATATTCATCAGAAGAATTTAATTATTTTCAAAATTAATAAAATTCAATTATTTTCAAAAAATCTCAAAAAAAATTGTCGTCAACATTTCAATTATTTTTATAAATGAATAGCAAAATTCTACACGAATATTCAATTATTTTTCAAAAAAGGAAAAATTTCACAGGAATTCAATTATTAAAAATAGAATTTGCATAATTTTTTTCGAAAAAAATCAATTGTTTGGAACTTTTTTTATGAAATATTCTTCGCAATAATTCAATTATTTTCAAAATTAATAAAATTCTTCGCAGAAATTTAATTATTTTCAAAGAATCAAAAAAAAAATTGTCGTCAACATTTCAATTATCTTTATAAATGAATAGGAAAATTCTTCGACAAAATTCAATTATTTTCTGGAATGTTATTAAAAATAATTGAAAAATTCAAGTATTTTCATAAATAATAGTATTCATCACATGAATCAAATTATTTTTCTAAAGTAATCAAATTCAATTGTTTTCAAAAATTTTAATAAAATTCACAATAATTCAATTATTTATGGAAAAAATTGAATTATTGTGAATAATTTTATAAAAAAGTTTAAACAAATGATTTTTTTCGAAAAAATGTATGCAAATTCTATTTTTAATAATTTAATTCCAGTGAAATTTAAAATTGAATTGTAAAATTCTTTGCAGAAATTCAATTAGGATGTTAAAAAATTTTTTAAAAATTCAAAATTTCAATTCTATTTATAAAAATAATAAAATTCTTCTTCCAAATACAATAAGTTTCAGAAATTTTAATAAAATTCATGTCAAAATTTCATTTATTTTCAAAAATGTTTCCTAATTCAATGATTTTCAATATTCTACTATTTTAAACAAATTTCCCAAAAGAATTCAATTATTAAACAAAAATTTTAATAAAATTCTTCGCAATAATTAAATTATTTTCATAAATAATAAAACTCATTCCAGAATTTCAATTATTTTTAATACAATTTTAATCGAATTCCTCGAAAAATGTAATTATTTTTGAAAATTTTATTAAAATTCGTGAAAAAAATTCAATTATTTAAAAATTTATTGATAAAATTCTTTATGAGAATTCAATTTTGAATATTTATGAAAGATTTATTAAAATAATTAAAATCCTGTGAAGAAGGTAATTGAATTCTTGCAACAAATTTTATCAATTTTTTTTTTTGAATAATTAAAATAATGTAAAGAATTTTGGTATTTATGAAAACAATTGAATTCTTGCAACGCATTTTGTTCCACTTTTTTAAATAATTGAATTCTTTTAAGATATTTTATTAAAATTGTAGATTTTGAAAATATTTGAATTTCCGCGAAGGTCATTATTTGTGAAATGTCATTGAATTCTTGCAAAATATTTTTGAAAATAATTACATTTTTTGAGAAATTTATTTAAAATTTTATTATAAATAATTTAAATCATATAAAAAATTTTATTATTTAAGAAAATAATTGAATTCTTACAACGAATTTTCCTATATTCTTTTAAATAATGGAATTCATGTGAAAGATTTTATTACTTGTGAAAATAATTGAATTTTTGCGAAGGATTTTTTAAAAATTTTTGTAAATAATTTAATTTTTCTTTTGTAAAATATTATGGAAATTCAAATTATTATAAGTTGTTGAATTTCATCCTAGAGGTTTGAATTTAAAATTTTTAGAAAATCTTAATTTTTATAGAAAAATAATACCTAATAATGATTAAATAATTATTTAAAAAAGAATGTATTGATGTTTTCGAATAATTTGACAATTAAAAAAATTCACAATTAAATGTAAAAGAACAGTATTTGAGTATCTAATATTTTTAGAATGAATCAGAATATTCTTTAGGGTCAGGGAAAAAGTGAAAATTTTGTCTGGAAATCAGGGAAAAGTCAGGGAAAAACAATGTTAATTTTTTGAAGCAACTCTGATTTCTATTATGATAAGAGTTTAATAATAAGCCGAAACACGGAGGTACTTAGAACTTTTTTTTTTAATAATTTTTTAACATTTCTATTATGAATAGAGTCTAATAGAAATGTTAAAATAATATTAAAATATGAAACTTGAAGAATTTCCAGGGGGTAATTCCATGAAATTTTTCGACGTGGGTTATCAAATAGATGTTTCTTGACTTCAGAAAATATTAATGCTGAAGTGGCGTGGCGCCAATTGAAACACAAAAATTGTTATACTATTAAGACAAGTTTCCACCACTTAACATGGTTGAAAGTTATGAAAATTGTTCCCCTAAATTCATGTGTATTTTTAAGCTGGTGAGCATGGTTCTGGAGTGAAATAAAATACAAGAATACAAGGAGTCGTAAGAATCAAGAATAATAATTAATGTTGCGCGCTGAAATAAGTGTTGGTAGGCTATAGCAAGTAGAATGGATGTTGTAGTGTTTATTTGGCAGGTGGTCCCGGCTCAATAAGAAGCCACTCAACGTGGGATCCGAGAAGACACATGTACGAGGAATTGAGTCACTATCCGCCAAACAGGAGGTGTCCACCGCTACCACATATGAGCAGTACTGATGTATTAACTCGAAAAGGTTAGTAACTATTTTATTTTTACTGTAATAACGGAAGCGTTATTACAGTTTCGCACTCGAGGATAATCAAGGGAATCTACGACTTTTCAATTTTCAATAAATTTCAATTTTCAAACAATAACTAAGATTTAACTTTTGCCCTAATTTCGTATTTTATTATAAATCTTTAAATCTGCAACTAATTCATTGTTGGTGCAACCGCATAAGTTACTACGTAAGTTCCGACCGACTAAGAAGAAATGTTTGCACGTAATTCAAATCATTTCGTTGTTGCACGTTCGCATGTTCGCTCTTAATCATGTAAAAATGTAGCTATCATTGGTTAAAGAAAGTCATATTTCATCAAACATAATTAGTGCTACAAACATCAATTCATATTTTTTTTAATTCTTGCATAAAAAAGAGATTCGTATTTATTATAATTATGTGCCTTTAAACTTTTCTTCATTTATTTTAGATTGAAGTTTTTTCTTCAATTAGTGTATTAATGTAAGAAACACTTAGACCACTATAGTTGACTAGAGTAAATTAAACAAATTTATTAATTAAAGAAATCACAATCATTATACTACCATACAGTATCTAAACATATAGTATATTCTCTGTAGTATTGAAAAAAATTATTATTTGTTATATCTTAATTATTTATTCGTTATAATTTATTAGCTTTAGCTATATTGTGGTGTTACCAATTTAAAACACATTCGTATATCCATTTTTGTGAAAATTGGAAACATTACCAAGTATGTTTAAAATGATGATTTAAAGCATTTATGATAACAAAAAGGAATGTCATTCAAATCAGAGTAAAAGAAATATTTCAAGTATTCTTTCTCAAGTGGGAAAGTCCCTTCTTTCCATTTTAAATTTGATCTAGAAAAATTTTATAAATAGCTTAAATTAACAGTACCTAGTAATAACAACCAATTTATTGAAAAATCCAAATTTTTAAAAAACTTTATCGGCTTTATTGGATCGAACATTTTGAACTTTTAGAATCTAATATCAAGTTCGCAATTAGCAATATTCAAAAATCTTCTAGATATTAGCTTAATAAAAATTTTTATTTTTTTAAATTAAAATATGAAGCCTTATGGGAATCTATATAAGAACCTGTTGCATTACCTATATGTATGTAGAATCCCATGAGTGCAATTCTTAGACTCCTTAAAATTATGAACAGACCATTAATCCGCTTCAAGTTGAACATTCAAATAACATTTATTAGTTTAAATAAAAAGTTTACTATCTGTTAAAATAAAAGTAATAACAAATAATTATTCATTTAAAGTATGATTAATTAAACTTAGAAAAAAATAGAATTTTCTCATTAAATTATCAAAAAAAAAAAAAATAATTTGATTTTTTGGTAATTCAAACAAAAAAAGGGTCCCTTTCAGGAGAATCACCCATATAAAGGAAAAAAGATGTTAGTGACACACAATTTTGCATGCAATTATAACCTTCTAATATAGTGATAGTTTTAAACTTATATTCTATTGCAGAAAAAAATGTTTTTTCTTTTCATAGAAGAAAGCTTTAGTTAATGTAGTTAAACTGTTACACAAACTAAATTTTTTATTTACTTGAGTAAGCAGAGAAATTTTTTAAAAAATAGTATAAATATACTGTAAAGTGAAACACTTTTATGAAATGAATTATATTTTCATTATTGGAAATAATATTCCAAATGTTTAATAAAACAGTATAGAAAGAAAATTTTTAATGAACATTCTAAACTATGTATTTTTTTAAATTTCTTATTTACATAATAAGTAATACACACTTAATATTTTTAGTTGATGAGTATATAAAGTAATAGAAAAATTTTTAAAGCTCCTAAATTTTCGATTTTTGTTACTAAAATGAATATCTGTTTTATTTAACCTAGGGTGGTCCTTAAAAAGGTTTTTTTTCGAATTTCTTTGCTCCCAGGGGCTTAAATGCTTCAAAATTAATAAAAAAAAATTTCCTGAAAATTTGAGCTCTTAATATTAACTTTTAGATGGTCCGCACTCAAACTTAAGTTTAAAAAAAAAATTTTTTTATTTTTTTATTTTTTATTAATTTATTTTTGATAAAATTTGGAAGGTGAATCAATACTGAGGTGTATTACGGTCACGAACACCTAAAATCAGACAAAGGGATCTTCAAAAATATCGAAACAAATATTTTTTAGCAATTTTTTAATTTTTGAAAAAAATCGATTTTTCCTTTTAGTACTCTTTGAAATGAGCAACTTTGATTTTTTTCAAATTTTTTCATAAAGCGGTCAAAAATTGATGAAATTGGACGTTTTTATAATGAAAAGTTTTGTTTTCACGCGTAGTTTTCAATAAAAATATTTTAAAAAATTTTTCGTGGGCAAACGATGGGATCTATTTATTTCAAAAATTTTAATTTTTACATACACAATGAAAAAGGTAGGCCTAACTTGTCATTTGACCAAATCACAATTTTACACGGAAAGAAGGTTAAGTTTGGAGAGACTGAATCTGAAAACACATTTGCTGTGAAAAATTTATGTGATTTTGTCAAATGGCAAGTTAGTCATTTGGCCACAACTGCGTATATAAAAATTAACAATTTCAACATAAATAGATCCCATCGTTTGACCAGGATCGTACAAGGCTTAATACATTGCTAAAAATGAATTTTTATTTTAAAAATTTAAAAATCTTATCGTAAATTATTTAATTTTTTTTTAAATTTTCATGATAAAAACGTCCAACAATTTGATCAATTTTTGACCGAGTTATAAGCATTTAAAAAAAAATTTACGTAAAAAACGTTATTTTTTAAAAATCTGTATCTCCTGAACCGCTTTATGAAAAAATTTGAAAAAATCAAGATAGCTCATTTCAAAGAGTACTAAAAGAAAAAAATGTTTAAAAAAAATTTAAGATGCAAAAGCAAAATAATTTCCGATTTGGCCTGGAATGCCCCATACATTAATCGATTTGTTTTCATGTCAGGAATGTAATTTTGACAAGAATTAATGAAAATATTAATAGATAAAAAAGTTATTTAAAAAGATACAAAAATCGATTTTTTTCAAAAATTAAAAAATTGCTAAAAAATATTTGTTTCGATATTTTTGAAGGTCCTTTTGTCTTATTTTAGGTGTTTGTGACCGTAATACACCTCAGTATTGATTTACCTTCCAAATTTTATCAAAATAAATTAATAAAAAATTAAAAAAAATTTTTTTTAAACTTAAGTTTGAGTGCGGACTATCTAAAAGTTAATATTGAGAGCTCAAATTATCAGGGAATTTTTTTTATTAATTTGGAAGCATTTAAGCCCCTGGGGGCAAAGAAATTCGAAAAAAACCTTTTTAAGGACCACCCTAATTTAACCCCTTTAGTGTCATGCTAAAATACAAAGACATTGACCACGTGTGTCAGGAAAATTGAAGATTTTAAAATTTTAATAAATTCGCTTAAAACAGGCTACTCGGGGATTTTTGGGGTCGCTGATGACGAATTCAATGTTACTTTTTCAAAATTCAAAATGGTGGATTAATTATTATATGTTTTACAAACTATTTTGCATTTTTAAAGTCTGACATAAGATTTTAATTCATTTTTAAAATTTGGGCTGTCATATTGACGACATCAATTTTTAATTTTTTAATTTTGACATCAAATTTGAATTTAGTGACCCCAAACCCCTCCAGTAAACATTTTAGACAAATCCGGCAATATTAAAAATTTTGGTCGCCATATTGAATCCGCCATTTTTAATTTTTCACTCCTGACCAAGTTTAGTCATGACTCCTATAGGCGTCAGTGACACTGAAGGGGTTAAAACGTTGATTTTGATAACGTTGCTAAGCATATAATTTTTAATTTCAAGTGTAATTTGGATAACCATTGCATTTTCTTTTCTATTTGCACTTAAAATAATCAGACTATGTGAAAACCTTTTTTTGAATAAAGAATTTTTGGAAAACATACACTGAAAAAATCCTTAGTTTTGACTACTTTTTAACTACTTTCTTTAGTTCAATAAGTTCCCACAGATATTTTTGAACTTACATTAATTATTAGATATATATAGTTGAACGATAGTTATAATACATAATTGCATTAACCACTTCTATTAGTTAAATATAGGAACCAATGATAATTTTTCAGTAAAATTAACTGCTCATTTGTAGTTAAAGTTACTAAGATTAACTCAGTAGTAAAGACAATTACTTAAAATAGTAAAATAAAATTATTTATTATAAATATTATTAAGTTCCATTTTTTTGCACTTTTGTTTATCTTTATATTATATATTTAATTTCTATATACCTAACAGAGAAAAATTTCTAAACGCCGGGAATTGAACGCTCGACCCTAACATTCATAAACCGACAACCTAACCACGTTCGCACTCTAGGATGACTTACTTAATACTTGAAGGTATTCCTGCCATAGTTCAACTGATAATTACAGTTAATTTACTGCTTAAAGTAATTGTATTTACAACTTGTCACAGTTAGTACTCTTCTAAAACTCTATGACAAAAATTAGATGAAAATTTATTCAACTGCTAGAAAAAGTAAAATCTACTACTAGATCTACTACTTCACTCTACATTTAAGTAGAAATGTACTACTTTTACTTTAACTAAAGAAATTTATTTTAATTGAATTAATAATTTTGAACTTTATAAAATAGTTAAAATAAGTATGCAAAGATGGGCAGACTAACTAAAAAAGTAGTTCTTTTTATTACTTTCTACTCATATACTAAGGAGATGCAGTTGAAAATGTCTCATGAAGTTTTTTCAGTGTATATACAGAAATTTATAAATGCTTTTTCAAAATTTCTTTTAATTTGTTGAGTATTGAAATTGGAAATGGCTTTTTTTTGGTTGCTATGTAAATTATTTTTTAAACTAAGCATTCTGCAAAGTTTTCTAATAAGATAGCAAGGCTAAAAACCATTAGTGCTCTCGGCTTCTATGATTTGCCTAATTCCATTGCTAATACGACACAGCTACAAATTGTCTGTATAACTTAATGAAATATGGTATATGATGTTTTTGTTTTTTGTTTTAAATATAATCCACAATTATTTATTTCTCTTTTTTAAAAATACATTAAAATTACATTAGCTTTCGCCCGACAACGTTGGGCCTCTTCAGATGAGAATTCTAGAGAATACATATAAATTCATATAGAAAGATATAAAGAATAATTAATTCTTTATATCTTTCTATATGAATTTATATGATTTCTATATGAAAATTTCTATATGAAATATTTCTATATGAAATTTTCTAGAATTCTCATTTGAAAAGACCCAACGTTGTCGGGCGAAAGCTAATGTATTTTTAAGAAAGAGAAATAAATAAGTGGATTATATTTAAAACAAAAAACAAAAACATCATATACTACATTTAAATAATCCAAAAAACATTTACATCTATTATATTAATGAAATATGTTTTTAAAGTAGATCCGCCAAAAAACCTAATTTTTATCGAATATAGAGTATTTTTGATGAACTTTCAAGACTTCTTATCACTTTCTTAATTTTTTCTTTAAATATACAAGAAATATTGAGTTGAAAGTACGCGATTTCTGAATTGTTGCGTAACGTGTTACAACTTAATAACTCCGTTAAAGGAAAATAAAAAAAATTGTCACTTTCACAACTTCTAAATCCGGGTCTATTTTAAAAGATATAAAGATTTAAAAATTGCACACTTTTTCAGGTTAAAACTGTTTATTTTTTTTAAATTGAAGTTGGTTTTTAATTTAAACACTATGATCGAAACGTGATTAACAAGAAGAAACCAACTTCAATTAGAAGAAAATAATCAGTTTTAACCTGATAAAGTGTGCAATTTTTAAACCCTTATGTCTTCTTCTCGTAATTAATTGATAAAAACGTCAAAATTAGTTTATTTGGCGGACCTACTTTAAAAACATATTTTATCTATTATTTTTATATTTTTACTATAGTTTTATTATTAAAAAATAATTAATCAATTAATTTTAAACAAGAATCAATCATTATTTTTGCACTTTTAAGAATTTTTCTATGCTTTTTTAAATATTTTCTAATTGCTAAAAAAAGTGCCATTTTTCCGCACCTTCTCCACTTTACACTCATATTTTAAGAAAATTAATAAATATTTTAACATAATTCTTTTTATTTCGTTCTCGACAGATCACACAGATTCATTTTTTTTTAAATTAGGCCGCAAATTTTTAAATAATCTAATTAAGAATCGTAATTAGCAAATAGAAATTATAGGGATTTTTTTCCTAAAGATATTTAAAATTTTCTAAAATATAATGTTTTATAAGGGTCAGTCCATTATATTTCACCTGAAGCCGTTGCAGCCTATTTTTAAAAAAGTCTCATAATTTGTAAAAATGATGTTGAATATCCATAGAATTCATTTTTGAGAATTATTTTATAAAATTTTTTTAATTTAACTTAGAATTTTAATTTTTAAATTGAGTTGGACAGAAAAAAGGTTATATTGGCAGTTATGAAAATTTAATAAAAAAGCATGGGAATAATTTAGATAATACAAATTTCTTGATTGATATTTGTTAAAAATGAGCTAATTTACTTGTATAAATAGATTATTATGTAAACATACTCAAAATAATAGATAAAAATTGATTTTAAAATTTACCTATGAAATGTCAAAAGTCACTACATTTTAATTACATTTTTCTAAAAAGTTTATAAATATAAAAAAATTTATTTCTATTTAATGTAAAGTATTTTCAATGTACTTTCATAATATGTGCTAACTTTTTAATGTTATAATATAAAAATATGAAAAATTTTACCTTTAATATTGAGTGTTTCATGATTTTCAGTGATTTTAATCACTTATTTCTTCTCAGGTGCAAGACTAAAAAATCCAATTTTTGTCTTAATATTTAAGTTTGAACTTCTTTTCCATTCTATTAAATTTTGGTGATGGAGAACGAGCTACTTTTCAGTTTAAATTTAGTTGAAAAAATCTACTGAAAAAGCGAGTTTGTTGGTTAAAATGCAGGTAATTTTATAACACTGAAGTTGGCTATCTCAATAGTTTTGCAAAAATCTACTTGCATTTTAACCAACAAATTCGTTTTTTCAGCAGATTTTTTAAATTGAAAAGTAATTTGTTCTCCATCACCAAAATTTAATAGAATGGAAAAGAAGTTCAAACTTAAATATTAAGACAAAAATTGGATTTTTTAGTCTTGCACCTGAGAAGAAATAAGTGATTAAAATCACGGAAAATCATGAAACACTCAATATTAAAGGTAAAATTTTTCCTATTTCTATATTATAAAATTAAAATGTTAGCACATATTATGAAAGTAAATTGAAAATACTTTACATTAAATAGTAATACATTTTTTAATATTTATAAACTTTTTAGAAAAATGTAATTAAAATGTAGTGACTTTTGACATTTCATAGGTAAATTTTAAAATCAATTTTTATCTATTATTTTGAGTATGTTTACATAATAATCTATTTATACAAGGAAATTAGCTCATTTTTAACAAATATCATTCAAGAAATTTCTATTATCTAAATTATTCCCATGCTTTTTTATTAAATTTTCATAACTGTCAATATAACCTTTTTTCTGTCCAACTCAATTTAAAAATGAAAATTCTAAGTTAAATTCAAAAAATTTTATAATAATAATTCTCAAAAATGAATTCTATGGATATTCAACATCATTTTTACAAATTATGAGATTTTTTAAAAAATAGGCCGCAACGGCTTCAGGTGAAATATAATGGACTGACCCATAAATATATTAATTTTGGAAATTTTGATATAAAAATGATGCAAATTATTATTTCTTTTTTTCAAAGAAGAACAGAATTTTGTTAAAAAAAATTGTGATAAGAAATAGGAATTTTATAAAAATTTTTCTTCTTTTTCAAAAAAAAAAACTCATAATTTTGTGAACAGAATTGTGATTGAGAAGCAGAAAATATGCAAAATAGTTTCTATTTCCTAATTTTAATTTTCTAACTTTTATCAAAATTATAGAATTTTACAAATTTCAGAAAAATAAATATTAGAAATCATATAACTTTTTAGAAAACAGATTTTATTAGAAATCGCTTTTTTAGACAAAAATAATTAGAAAATATTTTTTAGAAACAGTGCCCACCTACCGAAAACTTGCTTGTTTCATCTGAAATCATTATCAATTTACTTCTTTTTTGATGAATATTTCATGGGGGCAGAAAATAGGCCTTGGGGGCCCTTCTCCTTTCTCAAAAGATTTAGAAAATCAAGTTGCAAATTGTATTCATATGTTGAACATTTTTTGCTTTCTTATAAGGAAATTTGCTTATTATAATAATGGAAGATGGTTATGAAATAAGCAACAGGTTTAAATAAGTCATCCTTAAGATGAATAACTTGTCCTGACATTTTATTTTATACTTTGGGAAATTGCGGAGTAGAGTTCTTTGATTAAAAGAATTGCTGCAAATTATGAAAACCTGCTTCGATGAGGCGTTATTAGAAAATAATATATCCCGCATGCGAGCTTTAATTGCGAAGCAATATTGTGAACAAATTCGTTGTATGCTCATTCAGTCGCTCATTCGTACATTCAGATGCATATTTGCATACAACAATCATACATTTTTCATTAAAGTAAAAACTCAATTGAATATGACTTAAATATTTCTTTGCTTACTAATTACTACTAACTTGAAGTTGGCAAAATATTTGTTTATATTAATTTATTATTATATACTAAAAGTTCTTTTTAATTGGGCTTAAGTTATAAAAACAAATTATGTATATATAATCGTTTACGATTTTTACAAGTTTTTTCTTACACTCATAATAACTTGGTCCTTTTAATATTATGCATCATTATCTTTTATTGTAACTAGAGTTGAAAAATTGTTGTTTACATTTTATAATAAAATTTTTCAGGTATGGAAGACGAAATTTGCCCTTACGCAACCTTCCACCTCCTTGGATTCCGTGAGGAAATGGATCCCAGTAAAGCTATGCAGTTCCAAACCTTCCCTCATCCGGGCAATGGACATTCTGGCACAATGGGACCACCAGTAGGACACCCAACAAACTCATCCGCACATAGTCGCTCTGGTTCTCAATCCATGGTAAGTGTATGAAAAACGTAGGTTAATTAATGCTCAGTATTCTTCAAAAATATATTTAAAGTGACTATTTATATAAAAACTTAAACTTAAAAAAACTTTTTAAGTAAAATTCAGGCTTTGCACTCATCTACTAAAACATAATAATATTTACTACTTTTTTTACGTTATACAAAAAAATAATTATTCTCAAAAATTATAATCAAATTCTTTAAAACGATTCAATTATTTTTTTAAAAAACATTCGAAATTCAATTATTTTCAATATCTAGTATTTTCATCAAATTTTGCAAAAGAATTCATTATTTAAAAACAAATTGTTAAAATTCATAAAAAATTCAATTATTTTCATAAATAATTAAATTTCCACAGGAATTCAATTAATTTAGAATAGTATTTTCAAAAAAATTTCGAAAAAATCAATTATTTAACAAAATTTAACAACTTTCACTAATAATAACATTTTTCATGGAAATGGAATTTCTTAAAAAAATGTTCATAATTTTCTAAGCAAGAATTCAATTATTTTCATAAATAATAAAACTCATCGAAGAATTTCAATTATTTTTAATACTATTTTATATTAATTAATCGAAAAATTCAATTATTTTAGCAAATAAAATTTTCCACAATAATTCAATTATTTAAAATAAAATTTTCATAATATTTATTACATTTCGATAAAATTAATGATTTAAAACAATGTTTATAAAATTCTTATGAAGAATTCAATTATTTTCGAAAATAACAAAATTTTTCACAGAAATTCAATTCTTTTTAAACATTTTAATAAAATTTTTCGCAATAATTCAATTATTTTTATAAATAATAAAATTCATCGCAGGCTTTCAATTATTTTTGAAAATTTTAATAAAATTCCAAGCAACTATTGAAATCCTGAGATGAATTTCAATTATTTTTAATACAATTTTACAGGAATTGCTCAAAAAATGTAATTATTCTTAAAAATTTAATTTTAATTCCTCGAAAAAATCAATTATTTAAAAAAATGTTTTTTTAAATTCTTTGAAAGAAAATTAAATTCCCGAAATTGAATTGAATTAAATTGAATTCCCGAAAATTCAATTATTTTGAGGCATTTTAATAAAATTCTTTGCAAAATTCAATTATTTTCATAAATTACAATATTTATCACAAGAATTCAATTATTTTAAAAGAAATAAATTTTTCTTGAGAATTCAATTATTTAAAAAAATTCTAACAAAATCGTTCGCAGGAATTCAATTATTTTCATAAATATTAAAATGCTTTTTAGAAATTCAATTATTTTCAAAAAACTTTAATAAAATGCCACACAGACATTCAATTATTCTTAAAAATTTTAATAGAATTCTTTCTTTATAAAATTTAATTATTTTAACAAATTTTTCTCAATTTAATGATTTTTAATAGGTTCTAGATACTATTTTCATAAAATTTCCAAACAGAATTAACTTATTCAAAAATTTTTTTGTAAAAATCTTCGTAAGAACTCAATTCTTTTCATGAATAATACAAATTTCTCAGGCATTCAATTACTTAAATTCGAATTTGCATAAAATTAGTCGAAAGAAATCAATTATTTAAAAATTTTTATAAAATTCTTCGCAAGAAATAAATTTATTTTATAAATATTTAAATTCTTTCATGAATAATAAAATTCGTTGCGGAAATTTAATTTATTAGCAGGATAAGAAAGAAGTAAATATTTTTGATGAAAATTAGGAAAAAGTCAAGAAAATAAAATATAGAAATTTTTGTCAGTTAAGTGAAGTTTCTAAAACGAGCTTTTTGGTCGTCAAGTTTAACTTTTTGCTACTTTTTCACAGGATTTCAATATTATTTAAAAGAAATGTAATAAAATTCGTTGCGAGAATTCAATTATTTTCATAAATAATAAAGTTTACAAGATTTCAATTATTTAAAAGAAATGTAATAAAATTCGTTGCAAGACTTCAATTATTTTTTTAAATAATAAAATTCTTCGAAAGAAATGAATGAACTATAAATTATTTTTAATAATTTTTGCAAAAGTTTCTAATTCATAAAAATTCACGCAATAATGCTTTCAATATTCAATTAATATCTAAAATTTTGATCTGAAATTCATTTTTAAACCAATTTTTATTAGAAAATTCAACGAGAATTCAATTATTTACATACAAAAATAAAAAAATTATTGAATAAATGAATGTTTCTCGAAATTGAATTTTCATAAAGAATTTTATCAACAAATTTTTAAATAATTGAACTTTTTCGACGAGTTTTAATAAAAATTTCAAGAATATTTACATTTTTAGAGGAATTTGGTTAAAACTGTATTAAGGGGTTAGGCCACTGTAGAAGGTTACAAAATTAACGTATATTTGCGATTTCTTTTTCGTAGAAAGAAAAGTTGGAGAGTAATTATATTTAAGGATGTTTTTAGGCATCTTTTAAAGTTTCCAAAAAATTTTTTTTTATTAAAAAATAATGCAAAATAGTGCTTTGAGAGATGTTCGCGTAAAACGCTTTTTCCTTTAGGACCCCCACTGCACGCAGTCTACAGGTTTTTAAAATGAATCTGTAACAAAATAATTTTTTTTTTCTAAATTTACATTAGAATAGCTAAAGAAATACGTAGGCGATTTTAAAAATATTTATTTTTGTTAAATTGGTGAGCTTTCAAAGTTAAAATTCAAATTTTCGACCAAAAAATGGGTACTTGTTTGTATGCCAAAAATAGAAATTTTAACTTATCGAAAATCGGCTACGTATTTCTCTGCGGAATCTTATTTTCAAGAAGCGATAAAAATTTGGAGTAAAAAAATGAAAATTTTCCTTTAAAAAATTTTTTACCATTAATCTGTAATTAAAGCATCATATAATTTTAATTTTTAAAATCGGTTAACATGGATCTACAAAAAAGATATATTATATTCATTTGGCACTGTTTATAACTTAAACAAACAATTTTTTTTTATTTTAAAAATCTTATGATTTCATTTCCAGCACAACAGGCTAAGAATAAAATAGATTTAACTCCACTTACCGGGAGTACTTTTGTCTAAATTAACATTAAAAAATTGAATTACTTACAGCCTAGACAAAATGGTGGACGCTATTCACGAGTACCATCTCAAGGTGGTAGTATGCAGACTAATGTTTTCTCACCTGAGTATGATGATCCTGCAAATTGTGCACCTGAAGAAGATCAATACGGCTCTCAATATGGACAATACGGAGCTCCCTATGATCACTACGGCTCTCGTGGCTCTGTTGGTCGCCGCAGTGTTGGATCAGCCCGCAATCTTCCAATGTCAAATTCTCCCGAACCACCACCACCTCCACCCAGGAACCACGATCCAAACAGCTCTAGCTTCAATGACAGCAAAGAAAGTAATGAGATTAGCGAAGCAGAATGCGATCGAGATCAATTAATTAATCGAAACTATGGCGGTAAGTACTCTTTTCGCAGCGAATAAAAAAGTACTTCATGAAATTTCTTTATCTGCCGCTAACTGATGAGTTTTCCACTTTTTTACTAACAATATTTTGTTGCTAAATGTTACTAACTGCTGGTGGCTACTAACTTACTACATTCTTAAACGACAGATATTGAGAAAGTTTTTATTTTTAAGTAAATTACTTTTTTTTCCAAATCTCGGTTATAAGTAATTGGAAATATTAAAATCTTTACTTTCATACATAAATTCTTTACGATGTTGTAAGATTTTCAAAAATAATACTCCATTCGTACTCTTTTGTTAATTTTCGTCAAAAATTGTTCTTGATTATGTTAAATTGTTTTTTTATGCAAAATTTTGGAACAAATTCAACGAAAATTTGTAGGAATATTCTTCATCATTAGGTGATAATGGATGACATATTTTTTAAAATGTTTTTGAAATTCTAAAAGAAACATAATACTTTTCCAAAATTGCTTTATGTTTTGCAGATGATATGGACTTTTATTAGTCTTGGACATTATACTGTCGAGATCAATAATACTCCAAGAGAACTAATCTTCCCTCAAAAACTGCATAGTATAGCAATATTATTATTAATCTTTTATATAAATTGAAGACATGATATAAAATGTTCCAATCCTTCCTTTCTTCAATATTAAGATCCCGTCAATCCTCTTTTCTCTTATCGTTACGTAGATGAAAACGTTAATTTATGGACACAATTTTAAAGTAAATTTTAATTTTTTTATTCTATATAAAAAGAAATGAAAATAATAAATTTAATATTAAATTTAGAGGTGTGCAAAAAGCTCGAAGCTCGATCGGGTATTTTCGAGCTTTTCATTTTTCGAGCCGAGCCGAGCCTATTCAGTTCGAACTCGGGCCGAGCCGAGCTTTATAAAAAGCTCGAATAATTTCGGGTACTCGAATTTTTCGGGTACTCGATCTGATTCGAGCCCTTGAGAAAATCCCAAATTTTCTACATTAATTTTTAATTAAATTAAAAAAAAAAAATTTTTAATTTAAAAGCTCGAATTAAATTGAGTACTCGAAAATTTCGGGTACCCGATACATCGAGCCTGGCTCGGGCTCGGCTCGTCTCGGCTCGAAAAAATTGCGGCCCGGCTCGGCTCGGCTATTCGAGCTTTTTGCACACCTCTAATTAAAATATTTAATATTAAAACTTAATATTAAATTTACTGAATTTTATACAAAAAAAAATTTTCTATACATTCAGAAGAATTTAATAACCTCAACCGATTCAGATGACACTTTAAGAAAATCAAATGCAGATTATACACTTTGTGTAATTATAATTATGGATTTTCCACAATATGTACATACATGTATGAAAAATATTTCATGAAATATTCAAGTTGTTAAATACCAATAATGAATAGGTATCATAATTATAAATAAAAATATCACAAATCAAATTTTTATATTTTACTTATTTTTACTTCACAGACAAAACACAAGTAAAAATAAAATAAATACTAAATAAATATTAACTATAATTAAAAAAATATTTTAAAAATTAATAAATAAATTAATTCAAAATTATACATAATTTTATTAAAATTTTGTTTTCAAAAAATATTTTCACATATTGTGAAATTACGTATTATGTGAAATTACAAATAATAATTGAACAAATTCAATTATTTTCAAAAGTAATAAAATTCTTCGCAGAAATTCAATTATGTTAAAAAATTTACAAAAATTCTCATCAAAATTTCAATTATATCGTTAGAAATAAAAAAATTCTTCTCCGAAATTCAATTATTTTCAAAAATTTTAATAAAATTCTTGGCAAAATTTCAATTATTTTCAAAAAAAAATTTCTCAATTCAATGATTTACAATATCTGTACTATTTTAATCAAATTTCCCAAAAGAATTCAATTATTAAACATAAATTTTGATAAAATTCTTCGCAATAATTAAATTATTTTCATAAATAGTAAAACTCATTGCAGAATTTCAATTATTTTTAATACAATTTTTATCAAATTTCTCGAAAAATGTAATTATTCTTAAAAATGTTATTAAAACTCATCAAAAAAATTGAATTATTTAAAAATTTATTAATAATTTTTTTATGAGAATTTTATTTTAAAAAACATTAAATTTTTCAAAAAATTATTTTATTTCCTATTTAAAGAATTGAATTCTCCTAGAATTTTCCTTTAAAAATTGATTTAAAAATGAATTTCAGTTAAAATTATGTTAAATTTTAATTGAATATTAAAATCATTATAGCGTGATTCTTTTAGAAGGAATTGAATTTTGAAAAGTTGAATTTTCAAATTCAAATCTTTGAAAATCTAAATCTTTCAAATTTTTTACTAACAAACAATTCTGTGGAATTCATTTTTTTTAATAAGATTAATTGCGGATTTTTTGAAAATTATTTGAAGTTTTTATTTTCTAATATATATATATATTTAATTGAAGAATTTCCGAATAATTGAAATTTTGTAAAATTGAATTATAAAGAAATAAATTTGAAAATTCTCAAAGTGATTTTTCAAAAGTTCTTATTAAAAATAATGAATTTATGAAAGAATTTTAGTTAAAATCACTAAAAAAAAAATTGAATTTTGGAGAAGTTACAAATTATTGCAGAAATTCAATTATTTTCAAAAGTAATCAAAATTCTTCGGAGAAATTCAATTATGTTCAAAAATTTTTTAATTCTTCTTAGCTATTCAATTATTTTCACAAATAATAAAACTCATCTGAGAATTTCAATGAGTTTTAATCCAATTTTTATCGAATTTCTCGAAAAATGTAATTATTCTTAAAAATTTTATTAAAATTTGTCGAAAGGATTGAAGTATTTAAAAATTTGTTGTTTAAATTCTTTATGAGAATTGGATTTTAAGAAATATTGAATTAGTCAACAAATTATTTATATTTGTATTTAAATAATTGAATTCTATTAGAATTTTCTAATAAAAATGGATTTAAACATGAATTTCAGTTAAAATTTTAGATAATAATTGAATATTAAAAGCATGAAAGCGTGAATTTGTAGAAATAATTGGATTTTGAAATTAATTTTTTTGAAAAAGTTTAATTGAATTTTTTTAATATTATTTTAAGTTTTTATTTTCTAATATATGTTTAATTGAAGAATTTACGAATAATTGAAATATCGTAAAATTGAATATTGTAAACAAATAGATTTGGAAATTCTTAAAGAACTTTTTCGAAAATTTTTAAAAATAATTGATTTAAAGTAGAATTTTAGTTTAAAATTCTTGAAAATAATAATTAAACTGATAATAATTTTATCACTGGATCATTTTTCATAATTATAAAACATGAAGAAGTTGATCACTTCGAGTCGAAGACTCGGAGTTATCGATATCTTCATGTTTTATAGATATTAAAAATTTAATTTATAGTTTTAAGTAAAATGTTCTCTTATTTGACTCGGACTGGTTATATTTTCGTCAGTTAATGGTCCGTAATTTTTAATTTTTGGTCCGTAAAGTCCGTATTTTTAAATACTTTCACTAGTTCGAGCCCTACCTGAATCAAATCTGCATTTGCATTTTATGAAATATTTAAACGTACTGGATTCATTATGAACTAAATTTTTTACCACAAAGTGGTCGCATTTCATAAAGTGCGGTTTTTCACAAAATTTATAAATATAAACGTATAAAATATAAAGTATAAATTTTTACACCTATACATACCTAATAATTGTCTATACAGTTTTATACAAATTTTGAATCACTCTGTTGTTTAAATTAGAAAATTGTAGAGGATGAAAAAATATATTTTTTTATTTTTAAATCATAACGTTGTTAAGAGAGATTGAAATTTCAAATATTAAGTTAATATTATTTCTTTTTTGTCCATTTTATATAACTTAACAATAAATGACTTTATTAAAAAGTTGTTGGATTAACATAAATTAACGTTTTATCGTTGTCTCTTTCACGTATGTAATGTTATTATAAAGCAGCAATGTTGAACGAGCAATTAACGTGCATGATAGTGTCGTCGTAGTACTAGTTTTGTGAATTGGATTTTATATTTTTCTATTTCAGTGAATTCTCGAACCAAGGATGGTATGTCAACTGAAGAGATGCGTAAACTTATTGAAAGGTTAGTAATAAAACCATGTCATTAAATTTTAATGTTTAGCTTTTCTCTACTTGCACTACTTTCACAGACAATTTTTAATACTTTTAAACTTTCAGAAAGAAACTTTATATGTATTCTTTCTTTACTTCCACTACAGTTACAGTTGAAAAGTCTTATAAACAGAATATTTATAGTAATTAATTAACGAATTTTCTTAAAATTATTATTTTGACATTACTGAATAGGGGTGAGTGAAGTTGTCATGGCCATAGATAATATCAAGTTTAATTTTTGCTTTTACATAGATCAATTTATTAAAAAATTGTAATTTAATTTAAGATAAATAGTGTATTCGAATTGAAATCGACAGGGGATTTTCTATTTTTATCTGTAAAAATTGAGTCATTTTAAAAGAAAACATTCATACTTCATGCAATTTTTCTTTGTTTATAGTTTAGAATTATATTTCAAATGTTTCAAGTTTTAACCCTGAAATGCAAATTCGATATCAATATATTAAGTTTAAACTGCTTAACTCTTTCCCAATTTCAATTTAAACAAATGAATAAAATTTAATTATAATAAACACAATTTTAAAAAAATTATCAGTATGCATGTATGGATCTGACGCTTCCAACACATTAAAATCCTACATCTTTAGCATAAATGAGTTCAAAAATCATTAGAGTTTTAATTAAACATTTCAATAAGCAATTTTTTTTCTAATTCATAAATTTTATTTTTATACATATTTGAGGAAAGTTATTTCAAACCTTTCAAAAATATTAGTATAACTATTTTTATCGTTTTTAGGTAGTGCACGTTACGATGTATTGAATGTTTCTAAAACCAATTTTACATTTTGCTTCTGCAGCCTTTTGTGTTGTGAAATAACATTTAAAACTTTGCAATGCTTATTTTTAAAATCTCAATGTACTCTTTATTACAGGAAGAACGTTTTTATCAATAGGAAATATTTAGCAAACACTTTTCTCAGATCAAAATTCTGAATTTGCTTTAAATGTTGAGATTTAAAATTTTGTACAATGAAATTTTTTAATTTTTAATGTACAAAATTTTCTGACTGTCCAAATTTGTTAATCTCTGAATCAGTGATGTTCAAAATCCTAATTAATTAGAATAATGAAGTGTCTTACCTTCAATTACAGAATAAAATTTTGCACTTTTGAACATTGCTGAGTTGGAATATAATTGTGTGAAAATTTCTTACCATTTCAAACTCCTACACATATACTAAATTATTGAGTTTTGGAAAAGTGATAAATAAAAAACCTAAACAAATAGTTTGTTTGCATGGTTTAAATAATTAGTGTGAATTGCAGTGTACAGGCATCACAGTACTTTTTATTTTCAAAAAAGGTGAAAAGGGAGAAAGAAGGGACAAAAATATACCAAATAATAAATTAATCAGAATTTTTAGTCATTTAAGTTCAAATTATATCGCTTCTATAGAATTTTTTAAGAATGAGCGATTTTAATGTAATAATGTTTCTTCAAAGAATTATTTTGAAAATGGCTTAAAATGGATGGATATATTTTTATATTTCACATCAATAATTTTATAGTATTTTCATACCAAAATATGGCCCCAAAGTTGATTTTGCAAAATTTTAATTGTTTTAAGAGTTATTGTTTAAACAATTTTCACGCATTACATTATTGAAAAAAAAATTTCTACCGTTCTATTTGATAGATTTTAATAAAATTTGGTATGAGTAATGTACAATAATCATACTTTCAAACAAAAAGTATTTTATACAAAGAAATATAAAAATATCTCTATCGAAAAATTAATGGCACGCTTCAGAAATTTTGAGCCAAATATGTTAATTTTATTTTATGATTACACTTTTAAAAATATTTCAGAAAAAAGAAAAACTTGCTTATTTTTTATTAGAAAAAGGTGTCAAAATTGAAAAAAGGGGAAAAAAGGGGACTATCTGTGATGCCTGAGTTTATAGCACAGTGCACATTTTACATACGCAATAAGGCGAACAGAATAGAGAATTGATTGAATTGACCTAAAACTATAAGACCTAGAAATATTTCTAGATCATTTATTAAAAAGTGACGCATGAATATTCTCTCTTTAAACTTTAAACTTATAAAAATTTTAGTGAGCTCGATTTCCAAATTATCTAATTTCTGTATATTCAAATTAATACATTACTCAAATACAATTTACCTACCATTCTTATTTAACCAAAGTTTGATTTCACAAAATTTCTGCTTCACCAAATTTTTAAATTAAGATCATTTCTACTTGGATGAATTTTCATTTAGCAGAATTGGTATTTAACAAAATTTGAAGTAAATCGATTTTAAGCTGAGTTTCAAAGTTTGTATTTTCAAAACTATAAACTTTAAATTCATATTAAAACACCAAAATGCATTTAAATACCAAGTTTTAAGAAAATCTTATTCATTTTGGTCTCGTATTTTCAAAATATCCACTTATTTTTGTTAATGTTTAAATACTTGGTTATTTTTAGCTAGTCATATTTACGCTTTTAAAAGTGCAACATAGCTTCAAAAAATAATATTTGATAAGGTTTCAGCGTATAAAAAATTATATGTATATTCTCTAAATCTGAATAAGTGCATATATACTTATTTATGTTTCAAAAGTCTTCCACGTAAAAAATAAGTAAAATTTCACTTACTTAAAGTTGAACTCCATTTATTTTTTTTGCGTGGAAGACTTTTCACTTTTTTAAATTTAAAAAGTAGCATATAATTATTTATTGCAAAATAATGTGATTGTCATGAGAAACAAATACACGCTCACATGCTTGTACATTCTTCATATGATACAATATTAAATAATAACTTAGGATTTTTTGTCAAAAGATGTTGTTAATGCATGTTTTGTTTTATTTACTTTTTGCATCATTGTGTACTGAAACAGTTGAGTGCACGGACGACATTTTTGTAAAATGTGTATAGTAATTCAATAACTGGAATATTATTTTTAATCACTTCTTTATTTTAATTTATCCTTTAGTATAAAATTTATTTATTTTTCACCGTCATTCTAATCATCCATTCATTCAATATATAGAGAAATCGTAGCGTTAAAATTTCACAATAATTCATAATTCTGTCATCCATCATCTAATGAATATTCTCATTGTATATCTAACTAGCTGTCGTACCCGTCTTCGACGGGTTGTAGTTTCTGATAATACACTTAACAGTGTATCTACCAACCTAGAAAACCGGAAAATAGCCGGGAATTTGATTTGACAGGGAAAAAATAATAGTTAGTTACTATTGTCTATTTCATTAGGAAAATAATACCATTTGAAACAGTGACCGACTTTTTATTATCAAATTAGTTATTTTTAACTAATTCAAATGAAGAAAACAATATTTCTCAATTTGTAGTACTTTAATCAATATAATGTATTAAAATCAATCTAAAATTTCCTCCAGTTTTTTGAGTTATAGTACAGTCTAATTCGAACTAATTGTATAGCAAGTAGATCCAGTTTTTCTCTGTTACATTAAATTCCCTGATATTTTACGTCTTTTCTGGTTGGTAGACACCCTGTTAAATGTATTATTAAAAAAAAACCCGTCGAATAAACCAGGAAAAATTTGGACAAAGCCGGAAATTGTTTTAAACCAAAATAAACACCGTGTTTAACTTTTGTCTTTACATTGATCAAGATATCTCTAAAAGTTAAATCAGAGAGCCCACAAATACTACTGAATTAAGCTTCATAGCAATTGGTATCAATTATAATTTTTTCAATTTTTTGATATTCAAAACATTTTTATACTTACATCTTCGTTATAAGAAAGTATTTTTGAAAAATTATGCTAAAATGTGACTAAATAACATGTAATATTCAATTATATAAAGTTTAAAAGCTATCCATATTTTTATATTTCCATTTTAGTTATAAAGTATTATTTTTTGCAAAATTATGCTAAAATGTTAATAAATAACATGTAATACTCAACTATAGAAAGTTTAGAAGCAATCCATGAAAAAATATAAAATTTAGAAATTATTTGTGTTAAATAAATTCATTTATTAGAGTCAAGTATTTATTTAATTAATCCAATTAAGATTTATTTGATTTAACTAAATAAAATTATTTAAACGAAATAAATTCTTATTAGATCGAAATAAAAACTTTTTAAATAAGATATTATTTTTCAAATAATTATAATTACTTGAATCATATAACTTTTTTTAGTGTAGCTATAGTAAACTAAAAGTTATTAATGTGAACGAACATTATCTATATTAATAAAATCAGATTACTATCTGTACATTGCTCCAAACTTGAAAATTTTTATATATTTTTTCGTTTTGAGACATTAGAATTCTAAAAATGTAAAAAAAAATTTCTGTCTGTCTGTCTCTGTCTGTATTCAAAACTTTGTTCGCGCATCAATTGAATACGGTTCAACCAATTAAAGTGAAATTTGGCAGTCTATTAGGTATTAACGTAACTTACAATAATAGCCTTATCCGATTAAAAAATATTAACTTGAACGAAAGTTATGACATTTTTCCAAAAAATTCGAAAAATCAAAAAAATGCAAATTTTTTATCTTTTGTAAAATGAATGCAAAACTATCCTTAGCTAACTTTTTTAGATAAATACAACCCATTTCTACAATAAAATTTTTAAAAAAGACGTATTTTGAAATTTTTTTTCGTTTTTTTAGATCAACTTTTTTCTAAGAAAATAGTGATTTTTAATCTTTAAGCAAGCTTTTCAGGAAAAATTATTAAAGTTTTTTATTTAAAGATCAGTATGTAAAGTAAGAAATTTGCTACATTAAACAAAAATAATTAAGCTAAATGCCATAAAAAAGAAGGAAAAATGTTGAATTTTAAGAAATTCGGTTTTTTGAATTTTTGCTAATTTTCCATAATTTTAGATTTTTTACCGAAGGGTGGAGACTATTGAATAAGTAAAGTATTTTTTAAGAGCACAAAAATAATAAAGCTAAATGCCATAAAAAGAAGGAAAAATGTT